TGTCGGATTCTTCTTCTTCTTCGTCTTCTTCTTCTTCTTCCTCCTCCTCATTTTCGGAGGGTTCTTCGGCGTCGGGGGTTTCTTCCTCATCGGACTCTTCCGAAACTTCCTCCTCTTCCTTCTTCTCCTTCTTCTCTTCAACAACCGATTCCTTCACATCATCTCCCTTGGTAGAAGTGTTCTTCTTCTTCGCCGCCTTAACAAGCTTCTTCTGCTTCTCGGCCTCGTAGTCGCGACCGCGGTGCTCGTCCAGAGCCTGAAGGAGCTTGCTGCGCTTAGGCATGGTGAATTATGATATGTGGTGTGTGGGTGGAATTGGGGGTGTTGTTGGTATGGTGCAAAGCTGCCGGCTGGAACTTTGCTTGCTGCAAATCAATGGGAATATTTTTTTGGGGAGATTTGGTAGCGCTAAGGATGGATTGGGTTTAGTGTTGTGGGGGTTGGGGGAGGAAGGTTGTTCCGTTATCGCGGATGGGTTATCGATAAGGGAGGATGTGGTGATAAGGGGGATGGAGGATGGATGGATGGATGGGATGGGGAGTGGTGATTGGGGGTTTGATTGTGATGGGGGGATGTGATCGTGTTTGGTATTGTAATTATGGGGATATGTGGAATGTGTTGGAGATTGGTAGTATTGGTAGTTTAGGAGCATGTCAACTTTGTTGATGATACGATATACTGGTTGCCCAGCTATATATAACTGGGATAGGGCAATCCCTTCTGCTGTCCGTTCTTGTTCAACATTTCTACTTTACTTTGACAGCTCACGCACTAGGAAATGGCATTTTATAAACCCTTGGCATCAGTCCTGGCCCTCTTTGATTCCGGGGGAGGTGTCACTACTCGGTGCACCTGAACAGCGCCAGTCTACAGGCGTCAAGTATGGCACGTTCATGAACTTCCTGAGAGTCATAGTATAGTCTATCGTAGCTAGTCTAATTTGATCAGCAATAAGCTCGACTGACTCCACCGACCTGCTAGTGTCAGTCACCACTTCCCAGTGCTAGTGCTAGAGCTACATTGATGGGATATATATATATATATATATGCATTGCGTCCAGTCAGCCAGGAGACGGAGAGAGATGTGCCCCAACATAATTATTTTCAGCTTTCAAAACAATGATGGTAACTCCTTCCTTTCTTGATGCTGGTATGGTAGTGTCCCCATCCAGAAATCCTCAAATTGCAGGCATTCAGAATACTCAAACTACTTCAACAAAGGCTGTGCGTCAGAAAGACAAAGATAGCTACTCCTGGGGAGGACATGTTCTCTAGTAAAAGGTCAGTGTGTCGAGGGTGCAGCATTAGCGCCGCACCGTCATTTTGGCGCACTCCGCACCTCTTGACCTGAATGCAGCTCGTAAGGATACCCAATGACTACCCGAGCTACCGCGAATAACTGAGAATATTATACACTAGCACGACCACCACCTCATCTTGAGCCTGCTACTTTCCAGAATGCCGTTGTCATACAACAAGTTAGACCCCAGCGCCAAACAAATTCGTCTTTTGACTATCTTTCCGGATGAGAATGACGAGAACCTTGTTCGAGCATCGCTTCATGCCGTGTCTCTCAACAATGCCTGCGACTTCGAGGCCTTGTCTTACGTATGGGGTGACACCTCTGTGACCGTGGACATCTCAGTTGATGACTGCATTATTGGTGTAACAGCGAATCTGCATGCTTTCTTGCGGGGACTTCGCCAACCTGATTCAGAACGCACGGTGTGGGTTGATTATGTCTGCATCAATCAGAACGATATCTCGGAGCGGAACTCGCAGGTTCCTTTGATGTGTCAAATCTATTCGACTGCCACATCGGTGATTGCTTGGTTGGGAGATCTGAAGCCGGAAGCACTTGAGCTCATCGAGTGGTATCATGCCAACCAAGATGGGGATTATTATAATAGCATCTATGATAGCAAGGGTCTTCATGTTTTGGAAGCTATAGCGCTGTTCTGTTTATCTGCTAACGCACTGTGTGCCGCGCAGTATTGGCGTCGTCTATGGACATTCCAAGAGTGGCATCTCTCAAGACATGCCGTTGTATGCATGCATGGAAAGACGACTTTTACCATAGGGAACATCTTCAAGCGATTAAACACCGACATCGTCGTTGTCAGGCTTCTTGCTAATTGGCTTACCTCCTCACAGGGTGCATCTATAATAGCAGATACATACGGGACGGAAGATCTTTACAATGCCAGTCGTTTCCTCTTTGAAAGGCAGCAAGAACTCGACAGTCTCGTGATTAAGATCCCTCGAGATATTCTGCTCCTCAATCCAGATACCCCGCGTCTATCTAGGCTTGGGGATTTGCTATTGCTTACGGTTGACCGGCATTGCAGTAATCAACTGGACAATGTATATGCGTTATATGGGCTTTCTCCTGCGGCTAGGGAAATATACCCTCCCGACTATCGAAAGACCATCAGCCAGGTCAATCATGAAACAACTTCATTCGTCTTGGGACACGAAGCCAATATACGTATACTCAAGGACTTTGATTTTTGTTTCAGCTCTTCTAACAGGAACGACTCACTCCCTTCATGGGTTGTGGACTTCACCGCGACGGATCCGGAGCATCGAGCAAAGATGCAACCAAACTTAGACTTCTATAAAGCAGTGGCAATGGATGAGGTTCCCTGGAAGCCAATTCAAGATCATGCCCCTATAATCACAGATAATATGCAGACTCTCAAGCTCTGGTGTCAGAAGATAGGAGTTGCCTCTCCTCCATACTTGTTTGACTCACCAGCCTTGGACTGTCTTGGGCAGGTACAGGTGCTTGCCAAAACCGCCGCAACGCCCGATAATATATTCAAAGCTACTTATCACTACACTGGTTGCCAGGGTTATTTTATATCGAAAACATTCCTCGATATCATGAAAATTTCTGTCTCTGATGAGCATGAAAAGTTTCTGGAGGCAACGAGAGGATCTCTCCCAGCGCTTCGCCTCTGTTTTGAAAAGCTTACGGAAAAGCGATTTTTTACGATGGCCACCTCAACTGGAAGGAGTATTGTTGGCTTTACGGGTTGTGAGATTGAAGAAGGTGATCATATTGTCGTACCCTGTGGCATCGTCCAAGTGTTTGTTCTCCGCCCTATCCCAGAGAAGATGCTTGTGGATGGTGAAAAGGCCCAGTGCTTCAAGTTCATTGGGCGGGCTTTCGTCGAGAGCATATCACATCCAGAGGAAATTGATCCGGATCCTCTCCGTTCCGAATTGAAGAGAACACCTACTACACAGTTTTGTCTTCGATAAATGATTTTAGACAGGATAGACAAAGACATATCTCACTGTTGTGTGGGATACACCTCCCAATATATAGGCGTATACACTACATCCCAATGAAGCCTGCAAGTTTTCATTATTTGAGATATATAATATAGAGATACTGCCATGAGACTACCATAATAAGCATTGTATGCTAGTCTTGAATCAAGAAAAGGCCACATCTATCATTGATTCGATAGGACTACACGCGTATATAGGCTTTTAGGATATACAAGCCACATACCACATGACAAAGACAAAAAATGGAGCTGCGGGGAATCGAACCCCGGACCTCTCCCATGCTAAGGGAATATTATACCACTAAACCACAGCCCCATTTGATGAATATAGTAATTACTCTAGATTCTCTTTCAGCCACCCCCGGAGTGATCTGTGCTTACTTTGGCAGATTTGGTGGATAAGGGGAGGAGTGGGATTAGTGTGAGGCATGATGTTAAAATTGTGAGGGATGAGAAGAGGGCTGGCTGATGGGTGGGGTGCAGTGGTTTGTTGTTCAGGCAGATTGGAATACATAATATGTTGGGACAGATATCTCTACGTCGCTTGGCTGACTAGCCACGATATATCGTTTTTGGTCTAGCGTTAGTGCTTCGACATAACATCACCTTCATGGATATTCATTCAATACCCCTGTTCACTTAGTGATTTCCTCTGCGCATTATGGTTATCGAATGAGACTACATATTACTCCAATCAGTTCATTAGCTCTCATGCTGCTTTATCCCCTCCCACAGCCACAAGAACGTAGCCACTAGACGCGAGGCTCTATTTCCCTTGCTAGTGGCGTCTTCCAGATACAGTCTACGACATTGGAGATGCCGGTCAACCCTACAAATTAACCGAAAAGATAGATCGTTGTGATGAAGCATTCCAGAAGAATCTGTTGGGGACAAACTTACCTAGTGCATCGAACTCAAAGTAGTACACTACCAAGCCCACCTCAAAAAAAAAACATAACCAACAAAACATAGTTACACAAATAAAAACCCTGCTGTGCCTTACTGGAGGCGGCATGAGTATGAACTTGATATTGCATAGGGCTGAATACATCGTCTCTTAATACAATGATTCTTTCCAGGTCATCCTATAGATAGAGGACGGATTGTCAGAACTCTTAACCCCTGACTGCAAGGGACACTACTTTCACTGTTTTTGTCAGACGGAGTCTCCGCCTCTGTATGCAGGACACCAAATCTAGTTCAAATTCTGTCACTCCCTACACATGCCATAGTCTTTTGTGGTAGGCGGACGGAAGGGCCGAGAGAACTATGCTCTGCAAGGAGGCAAGATTTGACATGTTGTGACACTGGAACCATGAGCCAGAGAGAGTAGAGTATCAAACTCGGTAATGCAGCAGAATGGTGACGAAAGGGTCTATCTACAGGACACTGTATAGGGTTGCATTATGCGGGGTCCCTTTGGTAAATGGCATGTATACATCGGTGATTCCGAGCTCGGAGCCAACCGTGTAGTATAGTAAACTTCTAGCAGGTATGGATGTTAGATGCAGTGTAGAGATTTCAGTATATTCAACAGTCCCAACGCATTCAATCTCTACCTAGGTATCTGATACACGTCAACATCCCTCTCTATACAAGACATATATAACCCCAAGTTCATCACAATGCTAACAAACATCCACCCAAGTCCAATCTACACCATCATCCACCTCACCACGACACTAAACTATCACTATCACAATGAAACCCACCAACACAAACAAACCCCTCCACCTCCACCACCTCCCCACCCTAATCTGGCACTTCACCGAAAGCAACGTCCCAACTTTCGTCCTCCCCAACTCCGCCTTCGGCTTCCTGGGCGCCCACTCCGGCCCAGCCCTAACCACCTCCCCCACCTCCCCCCACCTATCCACCCTCCTCCCCCGCCTGCCCCTTCTAATCCTCTTCAACTGGGCCCTAGTCTTTATCTTCGACCTCTCCAACCAACGCCTCCCCGAATCCATCCACGAAGACCACCTCAAAAATTCCTGGCGCCCCCTCCCAACGAACCGCATAACAGCCAACGAAACGCGCCGTCTCCTTCTGGCTACCATACCCATCGTCCTAGGCATCACCTACACACTAGGCGTATGGCAAGAAACCTGCCCTATCCTGATCCTCACCTGGATGTATAATGACCTGAAGGGGGGTGATGAACTCATCCGTGATGGGATTATCGCTGTTGCTTATGGGTTGTATAATATTGCTTCGTTGAAGATTGCCTGTAAGGGGATAGAGCCGTCTGAGCAGGGATATCGCTGGGCTATCATGACCAGCGGGGTGATACTCACCACGATGCAGATTCAGGATCTGAAGGATGTGGCGGGGGATCGCACCCGCGGGTGACAGACGGTTCCGCTGGCGTTCGGGGAGTGGTGGTCCAGGTGGTCCATCGCGGGGTTTGTTGTCGGGTGGAGTGTTCTCTGTGTGGGGTTTTGGGGGTTGGAGGGGTGGGTGTGGTATTTGGTTGTTGGGGGCGTAGGGGGGTTGGTTGTGGGGAGGGTGTTGATTGGGAGGACGGTGGAAGGGGATGCGGCGGCGTGGAGGTTGTGGTGTGTGTGGTTGATGGTGTTGTATGGGTTGCCTTGTTTGGGGTGGATGGAGTGGATGGAGTGGAAGGGTTTGGTGTAGGGACTTTATAGACTCAAGTACTACTAGTAATTTGCTAGGCGCAAAGGATGTCGGGTGAGTCTATCATCAATAACATGGATGAACCGACCAATGGCATCTGGATTAGGAACAGGGATGTAGAAGTGACTAATTAGCAACGTCTCTGTCTACTCTACCTATAGCCATAGAATTATAGGATAGGTGATCTTAAGAAATGCCATCTACTGCTACCCTACAACAACAGCATCCAACAGTATCCGCTTCCTCAACTCTCACTCCCAATAACTCTCTAATACGTATACTTAAACCCAGCCAATCCCTCAATCGGCTTCCCCCCACGATCAACCCGCTTATTTGCCCGCCAGAACTTGAAGCTGAGTCCCGCCACTACCAGAATAATCAGCGCGTTCGCAATCATCGTGGTCAACAGCCCGGGCCGGTAGTTCGGGGCATCTTGGGCCCTAAAGACTGTTGTGCCGATGATGCCTCCGATACTACCCCCGCCGATGAGGGTGGCGGATGTGAAGGCGCGTTTCCATTGGCCGCGGACGTTGTTACTAGTTTGCTGCATTAGCCCTGAGATATCAGGTAGAGAGGGTAGTAATTATGGGGAAGGGCTTACCTCTGCCATGAGACTAATGCCGGACAGTTCGCGTTGGCTACACTTCCATCAGCATGACGATCATACTTTCAAGCGAAGGATACTCACCAGCAATAGTCGCCAGAAAAACACCAAAATACCGTGGCCCTGACTCTTTGAGATACCCCAACAGCGCAAGCCCCAGCAAACCCATAGCAGCATTCGCAGCAATGATCGGCCCCCTCAGGTGCCATTTATCGGCATAGACCGCCTGGGTGTACATCACTATCGCCGCTGCAACATACGGCGGAGCCACCAGACACTGGGCCTTAGCTACCGAAAATCCCATACTGTCCTCTAGAATGATAGGAAGGAAGTAGGCGATCGAGTAGCTGTTCGCTGTGGTGAGCATATACATGGCCGCGTATGCCCAGACTTTGCTATCTGCGCCGCTGCGGAGATAACTTTTCAATGTGAATGGCTCCATGTAGACGTCCGAGCGGTCGTTCTCGATCGTAGCTACCACGTAGGCGGCCTCTGATTCGTTGAGAAAGTGCCATGACTTGGGGGATTGTTCGGGAAAGTCGACGAGGATGGCGTAGGAGCCGATGCCCATTACGCAGGTTAGGATGCCTTCGATCTGTGGTGATCTGCATTAGTGTTTGTCTGTAGGGTCTGTGTGGTAGGGGCAGTACAATGAAGATCCACCTCCACCCGGACTTGCCGCCGAGTCCATCCATCTGCATCAGTCCATATGCGAGAATACCGCCGAATCCGGATGCCGTACTGCCAATCAGGTAGAAGAGGGCATTCCGCTTCTGTAGTTCGAAGCGAGGGTACCAGGTACTAAGGAGGTAAACGCAGCCTGGGTAGAAACCTGCTTCCAGGGCACCAAGAATGACCCGCAGTCCAGCCAGCACTGGCCATGTTGGCGAGAGGCCAAAGCCCTAGTTGTAATCAGTCAACACCTCCACTACACCTCTGAACAGTATAACACCCCACAATCGTAAAACTTACAATCATCACGATTCCCCACATCAAAACAATAGCAGAAAGAAACAGCCTCGGCCCAAGTTTCCGAATAATTACCGTCATGGGGGGCTGAAACACAGTATAGGTGATGAAAAAGACCAACGAGCTAATACTGTAGCCATTATTCTTGGCATTCATCTTCAATTCTTCCTGCATCCTATCAGTACAACAAATTGAGTTAGCTTAATCTCTTGGCCAAGCCATGGCCTTGAAGCGGGGTTGAAAGAAGACTGGAAAGCCCATACCCGGCAACCGAGGCAGCTCCCAAGTTGGTTCTATCCAGCAGACTGATGCAATATAGACAACCCAGTGGGATTACAAGACGAATGTCGATTCGTCTCGTGAGTCTTTTTTTCTCCTTCGGAGTAAAGTAGTCAAGGGATTCTCCGGGTTGAATGCTGTTCTTCTCGGCATCTTCGATGTGAGATGCCTCTAAGGCTTTTTCTGCTTCCATTGCTGCGGGTACGGGGGATTCTTCTTTCATGCTTGGAGGCTTCGGGATGGAGGATTGGGATGCATTTCTTGACTGCTGTAATGGGATGGCATTATATAGCTCTCAAAGGGATAGGCATAGACGAAAGTTTCCCCGCATAATGACCCCGCAGATCTATTACCCCGGATTTCGCCATTGCAGGCCAAGGGTAAACATAACTCGAGGAGAGAGAATTGAGTTGTGGGTAACGATAGGACACGTCACGAGTCCCGCAGCTGTACGGTAGATGGAAAGTCCATGGCAGGTCACTTGGTACTTGGCACCGAGGGACAAGAGAATCAGTGGAAGGGATCATTTGGGCCCTGTTCCGTGTGGCGAGGGACTCGTATAATACGACAGAATGGATCTTGGTTCTTTTATAGCCAGAGCCTGGATCATCTCTGGGTATATTAAAGTTATCAGTATCGTTCTCGAGTCTTTCGGCTCTCCCGAGGCAGCCCGGGGAGGAGGACTGATCTGGGAATTAGAGTTTGTTATCTCTGTTCCAAGTCATGACATCAACATGTCCATGTGAGATATGATTGAACCGTCTGATTTGGCAAGCTAGTGACCCAAAGTACCTAAACGGAAGTGTTTCCGCGATTCATCAGCATTTCATCAGCAGTCTGCGCTGCAAGTTCAGTCTGCGGGGGCTTCTTATAAGCTATTAACCCATGAAAACTGCATATTGTAACAACTCGGGTCGTACAAGAGGCTGTTGGCAGATAGTCCTTATTCATAAAAAGGAAAGATAATCATCTTCGATGAAAGTTTGTGAAGGTTGGGGAGATCGCCAAGGATATAAATGACATATTCCCGGCCAATGCTAGATGAATCACCGATGATATCCGTGTCTAAGCATAACAGCTGATAGTACCAAAACATAAACCTCACAACTCTAGTGGTATCTAAACAAATTCCTTCCATAAATCAAACCAGTTAAGCCACAACGCCAGCAGAATTATAGAGACAGCCACACTGTTAATACCCCCCCAAAGGATAATGGCTAATGGAACGATGTGGCGCAACATAGTAATCCTGGTATGGATGATTCTCCATCGAGAAGTCCGCAGTCGCCATGAGCGGATTAATCACCCCAGCTGGCACCTTGGGCCGGGCAGGAGTATGATCCGCGGTCAAAGGATGGTCACTGTTGAATAACGCCAGGATATCTTCCGACATATGCATTGGAGGACCGTGAGAGTCACTCCAGCCCCAGGCTTCCTGAAGCTCCTGCTTCACGTGCTCTGCCTTCCAACCCGTCTGCTTTATAATGTCCTCGAGGATGCCCAAGGCCTCTTGTTGAGCTTCCCTAGTCGCTAGGCACTCCGCGGCAATAGCGAGGAAACGGATCGATAGACTTGCGACTCCGCTGCTTCACATTAGCCATTGATTCAGTTATACGCATACTGACAACGTACCGATCCCTGGAGTGGGCCACGATGCCGCAGATATCCCTTGCATGGCTTTGCTGTACGGTCTGCATCTCGGCACTGTACTCTGACTCGACAGGATTTGTCTTCGTAAGCAGGATGCGTGCAGTATGGTATAGTAGTCGAGCGATGATCGTGGAACGCTTGATCAGCCTATAAATGTTAATATGGCATGTGCGAATAGATCAACCGATGCTCACCATATCTGTGGAAAGACGGATTTAGAGTTTGTCTGCCACGATTGAATATATCCCAGAGGCATCATGGACCGCGGTACGGCTCGAGCCCACTGATCGCACCACTCATTATAAGTGCACCATTCCTGATAACGTTGGCTAATCCGCACGTCGTTGGCAGCCTCCAGTGCCGGTGGTTGGGCTAGCGATCGAAAGTTCGCAATTTTGGCGCAAATGAAGACCATCTGATGCGTCCAGGCTTCTTCATTGCCTGCAACACTTGGCTGTGCATGGTTCAGATCCAGTTCAACGCCCCACGTGTCCGGGTCCCAGGAAAGCGTCCAATTGAAATGCAAACAGCTGAGTAGTTCCATGCTTACATTCAACCAGAAACAAGCACCTCCCAGTCCCTGCGTTTTGGCATTCCAGTGACACTCTTTGATTAAAGCTCGCGCACCAGCAATGTGGCTCATGCCTTGAATTGGTCGGCCAGACATTAACTCGTAGATGTTCAGAAGAATCGCCGTAGTTGCGCATAGAGCCGAGTCACGATCAGGGTCTTGTAATGAGCGAAGAAGATATTGTGAGGCGACATTGTGATGTTCTGCGGCCTTCTCCTCCCCGTATGAGGCGTCCACGTGGAAAAGATGCCTTGCACCGCATGCCAACAGGGCTTTGAGAAGCATAGGTTCTTCGAGCGCATGGAATGGCAGAATATGCGTGAACTATGGAAATAAGCAACTGACGACACGTCGCAAGGTTCGACAACTTACATGTTTCACCGCATCCATCGAATCCATCCATAGTCCAACCTCTTCAACAAATACCTGTAGCAGGTATACTTCTTCTGGGTTGTTGAGACAAGTATGGTTGGTAGCATTGATATGACCATCTTTTGTGGACCTGAACGGAGCAAAGGATGCACTTTGGTCGTAAAAAGCAGGGGCATTTGGTGGGCCGCTAAACGGTCCTGCCAGACTCCCGGACTGGGGCGTCCCGAAGCCATGTACGAACGAGGCACTCAGACTAGGAGTCAGACAAGACCCTGTCGCATTCCCCTTCTCCAACGAAGGTTCCGCCACTTCGGAAGGATATCTCTCAATCCCGCCCACATATTCAGACGCTATAAGCCGCGACTCATCCCGAAACGTCACACCCGTCGCTGGTATACGGACTACGCAGTGCGGGGGTGTCGATTTCTGGATATCTATGAAGTTTAAGCGAATTCCACGTCTGCACACTCTGCCCGACTTCCGGCAATTTTGGCATCGGTGCAACGCCTCGTCGCACTTCAGGTGACGTTCCCGACATGTTAAGCAGCCTGTCCGCACTCGCCTCGGCTTCGCAAGGACAATCTTGCTTTTTCGCTTGGCGGCTGACGGGCGTGGCGCATCCAACGATGTGCTGTTTGGTGTTGAAACTCCGCCCTCGTCGGATGGGCTCGTGTCTTGTGTGATAGCCTCGGTCGTAACAGCCAAACTGTTTTCGTCGAGATCGAACTCGAGTATATCGGTGATCTGCCCTGAAGCGGTCAGGTCCAGTGAAAGATCCAGGTCCGACGGGACAGAGACATGGTCGCTGAGAGCTGACGCCATGTCAGGCTGCTTCAATCAACGATAACCCGTCGAGCCTGAATCACAGTATATCGTCCAGTCTTGGGTTATGATCATCAGCAAACCCCAGATTCAGCCCCCGAAACTGTCACTCCCGAGCATTCTGCCAACCACAAGATCTATAGCGCCGTCCGGCTTCCTAACGCAGCACCACTTCACATAGATATTCGGGGCCGATAAGATAAGTGACGTAGTTGACAGGGATGGCCAACTCTGATCGAAGATTTGCGCACGATTCGAAGGTTTTCAAGGTGACACCGAAATTTAAATGCATAGGCACCGGTATTTGGAAGCGATCTAAGGGTCGTTGATCTGCTCGAGATTGTTGTTAGCTTATGTATAGTGATATAAAATAGCGTGCAGTCACAGTCAGACCTTATAGATTAACAGCAGAAGGAGACAATGAAGTGTCGTCAACCAACTCACACTGGCAATAGAGAGACAGACCGGGGAATCTCAAAAGATCCGCGGGGAATCGTGACTCCGGGTAGGAGAGACTAGTCCCAGAATGGTCTAGGCGACCGATCAATACCGCGGCAGAACAAAGAAGCGATACGGTCCCGCTCAATTATTTCATTTCATAGTCTACTTGAAGTGGCATCTTTCACAAATTCGTATTTTCATTTATATGATTTGCCGTAAAGTGTTCGCACCTCTTTATAAAAACTCGCAATTTTGTTCAACATTACCTTTATCCATAACTTTTGGCATTGGGTCGTAAATCAATGAGGTCTTCAGCAACGTGCTGCTCATATAGCAGCTGCAAGAGAGGTCTATGTTATCGCCGTCTACATTCCTTCGGTCAACACCATGTACTGTAGCAGATCAGCAGCTCAAGTTCTTATGCTTTAGTTCCCAGTCTGGGAACTCGGACTCGAAGGTGCAGAATGAGCATAAGAGCACCCCAGATGGCAGCAGAGAAGAAAGTAGCGCGAAGGGCAGCTGCATACGCTCCGATCACTAGTCAAGATTTAGTATCTCTAACTTCCACGGGTACATATATCCAACACTTACCCTGTTGCTGATGCATTGAATCGAGTTTCGCGATTGCTTGGACGGATTTGCGAACAAGGAGGATGACATCCTCCTTGTTTGGTCCGGTGACCATCTCTTCGAGTTGATACACGAGGGTGTTCTGGAAGATCCAGCTGCTGGTTGCGACACCCATCACCGATCCGAGATTTCTCCACAAACCCAAGGTCGTCGTGGCCACGGCCTGGTCCTCTTGATCAGTAGTGGCAAGAACCGATACCATTAGCGAGGGGAAAGAGCATCCTTGTCCGAGACTGGAAAGCGAAACGCAAACCATCGCAAGCCAATCAGGCGTACCAACGCCCATGGAAGCGGCAGCGCAACCACCGAGCAGTAGAAAGATGTCGCCAAAGATGATGGTTGGCTTAAGCCGTTTAGTCCAAGTGATGATGAAGCCTGTCGACACACTGGAGATCGTCACCGCAAGAGTTGAGCCAATTAGCCTGAGACCCGAGTCAGTCGGAGTAGCTAGCTTGACTGCCTGAAAATACAGGGGCGCATTGAAGACCATGGTGTTAACGGAGATGGCGCCGAAGAAGTTTCCAAAGATAAGGCTGGCACGAGGCTCCTGTACCAATAGCGAAATTGGCATAACTCCCCGCTCCACGGTCCGCTCATAGCGAACAAAAACAACAGCTAAGATGAAGGATGAGATCAAGGACGTGATAACAATGGGGTGAGTCCAGCTGAACACATTACCACCCAGATTCAGTCCCATAATCAATGAAGTCACACCGACGACAAGTATGAACGAGCCGACAAGGTCAATGCTCTTGAGGAGCTGCATCAGACTCTTCCTCTCTGTTTTGGCCCTCTTCAAGCCCAGGTCGGCAGGGGTTGTCCAAGCTGCCACGATGAAGTAAACAAAGATGAAGGGCAATTGCACGAGGAACGCACCTCTCCACCCCACTTGGTCGCACAGGAACCCGCCGAAGGCCAAGCCAAGGCAACCACCAATGCCCAGACAGAGGTTGATGTAGGACTGATAGACGCCTCGGTATTCAAGGCGCACGAGATCACTGGAGAGTATCATGCCCATGGAGAACACACCACCAGCTCCGAGTCCGCAAAACGCTCGAGCAGCGATGAAGCTGAACATGCTTTGGGCGGCTGCGCACCATGCCGTTGTGACGAAAAAGATGGCAATGGCGAAAAGGTAGACCGGCTTCCTTCCAAATGTGTCAGAAATGCGCCCAAAAAGCGGGAGGAAAGCGGTAGATGTCAATAGGAACGCGGTCGATAGCCAAGATGCGGAGTTCGAAGCGTGGAAGTAGGAGGTTATAACAGGGTGACTCGAAGCCATCAAGGTGGAGTCAAAAAATCCGATCACGTATCCCATCAAGATACCAGAGAAGATAAGCCAGAATCTCATGGGTGAGACATTGATGAACCGTGAAGCATAGCCAGTAGGCTCACCGGCAACTCCATCTTCAGCATCTCCGGGCACTTGTTTCTGGCTCACAGGAGCAGAAGGGAGTCGCTCGAGATTGGGTTCAATATCAAGCCCTTGCGGGATTGAGGTGACTCTGGAGAGACTAAGCAACGCCGGGTCTTCCTCGGGGGCGAAGAGGGTTGAGGACAAGCTTGGATCAACATCCTTATCTACAGTCGTATCTTCTTGACTGGTGTATAATGATTGACGGGAAGATTGATGCAACAGTGGCGTAGACTCAGTAGCTTGGAGGGAAGATGGTGGCTTTCCATCTGTTGCATGGGGAGAAGTCATAATCGCAGTAGATGCGGTGAAAGAGATTGGATCAAATAATCACTCTAGAATACGACTTTGGAATAAACTTGAAGATCATAGAACATAGTATATGAAACTGAATATCTCCACTGAAACTTTGTTCATACAAAGAAGAAAAAGATAATTGAGAAAGAAAAGGAAAGGGAGCAGCCTACAAAGGGAGGTGTAATTCAGACGGGGAGACTGGCTGAGACAAATTTTATAGAGGGATTTTCTGGTGAGTGGCACTAAAGAATGCATGCTGCGGCACGGTGGATTCCCTCCCGCACGGAACTATGGATATGACTCGACTCGGTCAGCCTTTGCCTGCTCGACCTAATTGCGCGGAAAGACCAACCCATTCTCCACCGATTTGGACGGCTGCATTGGTTGGTTCACAGGCACGAGAAGCCCAAAATTCGACCTACCCGTTAAAGTTCTTCAAGATTCATGGTAGACATGAAGCCAACGAACCCTGGAAGCTGTTTTGATAAGCGCAGATAGCGGCATTGCTGCCTCCAACCCCTCATCTTCTAGTATGGATTTAGGATGCATGTGGACAGGATCCTTCTTGATGCACGCAAATGAGTGTCTTGCTCGTGCTGCGATTTCGGCCCACTCCCAGAGCATCACGTGTGTCTACTCTTGCTGATTGGCTCGACTGCAGTCATCGGACCCCAAACCGTGTATGCACCCTGCACAGTCTAACCCTAATGGGGATAGCGGCCCTCACAGCGATACCGGCAGAGTACATCTCGGTAAGGCATCAATACCGAGTGGACTATCCACTACTTTAGCACTTATCTATGGGGATGCAGTAGTCACCTGTGTCATCTGCGGAGCTGATGGCGTGCGAACTGTCAGGCCCAGGTACCATCATCTCTCTACCAATGGTTACTTTTCTCTTATGACATTGTTCGGACCCCTAGCCGAGCTCTGTCGTTTTCCGAAGCCAAGGATGAGTGATTTCTTTTAGACGGGTGAAGAGAATGAAGCCGCCGGTACTGCACAAGTCAATGGATCAGCCTTAGCAGATGACACAGTGCTGTATGCACGCAGCTTGCATGTTCAGTAAATAAGTGCTGCTGGAAGAACCCTGCCACATTGCACCAACTAGTTACAGGATTCAATCCCGACTGCATGCGGTGTGCAACTGGATACTTTGTATTCGTCTCTGCCCAATGCTTGAACAAAATTTACTCTTCAACCCTCCAATCACCTCCAATCCAGAAAGCAAGAGCCATCCGGTGGCCGCTTTGCTATGACATCCTCCCCGCATCAAGATGCATGATCAACCACTACTTGCAAAATATTAGTCAAGGCAATCCTATCAGGTGCACCGTGTATACTCCTTATCAAGAACACTGCATTGTCTTTGAGAGATTTTCAAGAGAGACATAGAACCTCTTGAATAAAAGACTTTTGGATGGAATCGGTCCGAGCGGGAGGCACAGCCGAAGGAGGTGGCGGGACTGATAACAGACTAGCGCATTCGATAAGAGCATCCAACGGTGATTTATACACCAGAGTTACCTGTACAGGCCACCATTTCCGACACAGTCATTGCGCATATCCAACAAGCAGATCGAACCATAATCTGCGAACAGCTTGCATCGCAGTTAACTAGCTTTTCAACCTGCTCCTGCAGCTGCTTTCCTCTCCGGCCTCCGCCTTCGAATCACGGAATTACCCCTCCCTCCACCACAATGCCCCCGCTTCGTATCGCCATCCTTGAATGCGACACCCCAGTCGAGAAAGTAAACAACAAATATGGAGGCTATCGCGGTGTATTCTCCCTCCTACTCCGTGAAAGTGCTGCAGCACTAGGTCAGCCCGATAAGCTAGACCCAGAAACCGGCCTCGAGATCAGCGGCTGGGACGTGGTGACGGCGCAAGAATACCCCAACCTGGAGGATGTAGATGCAGTTGTTTTGTCCGGGTCCAGTAAGTTACCTTTCTACCTATTTTCCCCGTACCCTCCCGCGCATCGTGCAGCATGCACCTCTCTGCAAGGCGCTCCCTGTGACTCATATGTCTCCTAGAACATGATTCCTTTGAGAACCACCCATGGATCCTGAGGCTGGTTGATTTCACCAAGAAAGCTTTCGAAGACAAGCGCGTTAAGATATTCGCCATCTGCTTCGGCCATCAGATCCTGGCACGTGCTCTTGGCGCCAGGGTTGGTCGCAACACTGCAGGATGGGAAATTGCAGTGTGTGAGGTGGACTTGACTGAGACGGGAAAGGAGTTGTTTGGGAGGGATAAGCTTGTATGTCACTCACCCTTCTTTCCCACAATCTTCAGAGCTCTCATATAGCTACTATGATGGAGTCCTGGACCTATGCTAACAAGTATGTTTACAGCGCATTCATCAAATGCACCAAGACATCGCATACGGATACCCGTCCGAGGTAGTGTCCCTGGGCGCTTCCCCGAGGTGTGCAGTGCAGGGCATGTATGTCCCGGGGAAGTTGATTGCTCTACAGGGCCATCCCGAGTTCAGAGAGGATATCATATCCGAGATCATTAATATGCGGACTGCGTCTGGTCTCTTCTCGAAAGAACAATCAGAAGATGCCTTGAGTCGCGCAGGTCTCCCACACGACGGCATCGCGATTACCATGGCCTTCCTGAAGTTTATGATCTGAGCAGACCTGACCATATAAAGCGATAATATACTTTTTGCCAGGATTAATGGCTGATACACCTTCATAGCTAATAGCCTGGCTACCCGATAAACTTCACCTCAAGCGACGCACATAGACAGATCAAGAATAGAAAACATATCTTTTATCCACTAAAGATACAAATGGTTAAAACCTCAAACCCAAGCGCATCTAGCCAGATGACCATAAACGATGGGTATAGAGCGACCTATAAAATCAGAGACACCGAATTTAATAAACCACCGAAATGCAAGCGCTCAAAATCGACAAACCCTCCGAACTAAGCAATGAATCCAAATTAATCAAGCACAACCCAAAACCTCTCCCAGATCACCCCGAAGCCGACGGATCCTCCCTCTCCAAAAACGTCGGATCCATCTCGACCTTCCTCTCAAACTTCGTCCACCAATCGCGGAAAGTCTTCAAAGGAACAGTTTCCTGTCCTCTATTGCTCGGATCTTCGGACGCAAAGCTCGCCAAGAAATTAAACGCATTCCCAATAATCCTCTGCGCCAGCACCTTCGTAGTCATCTCCTTCTGTTGTCGGTTATGTCGTACCAACTCCAGTGACTGCCCCGCGCCGCCACCACCAGCCTGCTCCGCCTCCAGCGCAGCAACCTGCGGTGCAACGGCCTGAACAGGTTCAAGCGAGATCCCCAACGTCACCATTGGTGCTGCGCCGGCCATCGCATTGCCATTTTGTAATCCCGGGATTTGCGGCGCCTGGACTTTAAGAATCGCAGAGGGTCTCTCATTCGCTAGCGCTCCGATAAACTTAAACTGGGGTGCATTGTTGTTCGGATCAGGGAATTGAATGTAAATCGCAGCGGCGGTATCGGGCGGGAGGACAGTGCCGGGGAGAAAGAAGACGACGAGTTCGGTGAGTTTGGGCGGAAGGGGGAAATTGAAGGCGAATTTTGTGGTTTGGCCGTTTGGTTGTGTTTCGACGGCGACGATGTCTGTGAGGCACGGATGGTCTGGTATGATGACGGAGAACATGGTGGGCAATTGATGATGATGATGATGATGACGAATTAGGAGTGTTGTATTGTATAGAGCATGTAGATCGGATCTCGATTTGGTTGGAGTGGTTTGAATCTTAATGGTGTATTGTTATAGCTGGACTAGAACAGATCGGAGGGAATTGCGACGCATGGCTTAAAAGAGTTGTTTCTTTGGAGCTTCTCCGGGAGGTGGAGAAAGAAGCTAGCTAGGCCAGCCTTTTGAAGAATTTCCTGGCGCGTTCCATGATGGAATCTCAAAGAAAGACTCGGTGACGAAATACCCGTCTTCTGGCTATTGCCCTTATCGATAAGGGTTCCCTTCCCGCCCGCCGCGCTCTAGGCTGGTTGAAGAACATCCCGTTGGTAGGGGGGCCATCCCCGCGGCTGACTTTTGTGATTGTTGTTGTTGGTGATAGACTGACTAGACTGCAGGCTTTGTATATATACGGCTTTTGTTGATACACTGTTTTGTCATCATGGGCAAGTCAAATCTTGAATTGGTTATCGAGTGTGATAGGTATTTATTTTCCCTTTATCCCTCGTCCCAATCGCTTGGATTCTAATCGTCAGATCCGCATGGCAGATTTCCGTACTACCAAGATAGCCCCGCATCCTATCTTGAACATCTGAAGAACTACCATGTTTTCAAGGTCGCCGGCTGCGATGCTACTCTCGGGTATATTTTGAACTCGACAGTAGAGCGCTTCGACTTGCCCTCGGAATGGTGGGCAATTGACTCCGACAACCGGAGCGTCACCCTCCTCGCTCCGGCCGATGCGACTCCCCAACAGCGCAGCGAGATTATGGCCAAGACGTTGAATAAGGCCGTGGAGCTGGGAACATTTGACATTCTCAAAGGATGGCGCAATGAGATGTATCCTATCTATGGACCAGGTGGTAAATTCCTCCTGGAAATGGAACGATCTGCTACCCCGCTATTCGGTGTCGTTTCGTACGGCGTACACTCGACCGTTTACGTGGTGGACGAGAATGGTCTACGCATCTGGGTGCCCAGGCGTTCGAGAACGAAGCAGACATACCCCGGTATGCTTGATAACTCCGTGGCGGGCGGTATGAGCACCACGGAGCACCCGTTTGAATGTCTTGTCCGTGAGGCGATGGAGGAAGCGTCTCTGCCGGAAGACGTTGTCAGAGCTAATGCCACACCGGCCGGATGTGTTACGTACACGTATGTCCGGAGTGCAAAGGCTGGAGGCGAAACGGACCTGGTGCAGCCGGAGGTCGAGTATATCTTCGATGTTAAGGTCGGGGCCGATATCATCCCCAAGCCGTGCGACACCGAAGTCGAAGAATTCAAGCTTTTCACTATCGAAGAGACGAAGCAGGCATTGGCTAATGGGGAGTTCAAGCCCAACTGTGCCGTTGTCTTGATTGACTTCTTCGTCCGACATGGTATTTTGACACCGGAGAACGAGCCAGACTATCTTGAAATCATCGCACGGATGCATCGGCGCTTGGAGTTCCCGACCGCATCACACGTGACGGTATAAACTACAGCTGACTCGCATACATGGAATCAGAAATGTGTTGAGAAGCAAGATTTAATGTTCTATTTGATATACCCTATCACCAATCAAACGCCGGCGCTGCAATCAAAGTACCCCAAGCATGCAAAAGACTTTTCTGACTATCCGAGACAGAACGGGCCAACGCCTCAGACCTTCTGAACACTATATGTGATGGTCGTGAAAGTTCTTTTTTGTCTATTTCTTCAGGAGCAGATACACGTAGTCGATCCTCAAGGGTGCCAGCTTCTTGTAAGGACCTTCAAGGTAAAGCAAAAGACCACCGAAAGAGATGAAAACGGCCCTGGACGCGAATTTAGTCAGCTGTTGTACAAAGAACGATCTCGGTCACACGGCGAAGAAGTCCGCAGCAGACCGCGATCCGCGCGACACATGGGAAAATCTTACATGTTACCCTGGCTGGAACCCTCCTCAAAGCGGTAAACCTTGCCGTGGCAGACATAATCGTAGTCATTAGCCAAAGTCTGCTCGCCCATTCCAACCTCTCTCCAGCCCTTCGATCCGGAGTCGTCCTTGCCATCCAGAGAAAGCGTCGAGGCCAGAGCCATGTTCAGCGACTCGTTGACAACGCAAGGGTAAAGCTCGGAGTTGACATCGAGAGTGAAGTGCGAAAGGGTGTCGGTAGAGTTGCAGCTCAGACGCAAAACACGGTCATATTTCTGGGAGTTGATCGCGGTGATCGTGAAGGTATCTTCGAAGAGTAACGGGTCGGACATGGTTGCGATGGTGGCTTCGAGCGTTCAATTGAATCGCAAAATGTAGTGTAGGATACCGGCTTTTACGCGAAAGACGGTAATCGGGGGAGGGATAAGACGTGCGCTGGTAAGAAGAGGCGTGGTGGTCGTGGTAGCGCCAGAAAGAGGTGAAAGCGAAGAAGTCGAGGGCGGACAGCTTTTTTGCTCGACTTTTAGCGCGGCGCCGCTTTTACTTTCCCGGAGCTGCCCCGCAGCAAATCTTCAAAGTATTCCCGTTCGGTTCATTGCGTTCCAATCATTCGACCAACTTACACGATGTCTTTTCGCAAGAGAAATATTGGTCTTTCGGCAGGCGCTGATCGCACTGGTGCTGTTAATGCTAATGCACAGCCGCAACAGCCTCCTGCGACGCCAGAATTGACTCCCGGTGTTCGCCCCTCCCCCGACGATGGGCGGCCGACTACTTCCACTGGTACTCCGTCGCTGGATAACCTTTTGGCTGGGCATGGAGGTCTTCCCATAGGGAAGACGCTACTGATTGAGGAGAATGGGACTACGGACTTTGCGGGTGCATTGCTAAGATACTATGCGGCAGAGGGTGTGGTGCAAGATCAAAAGATTCACGTCGTGGGAATGCCTGAACAATGGGGAAGGAGTCTTCCGGGCTTGTTAGGTCCGGCTGATGCTGTTGATGACAAGCAAGATAAACGGAAAGGAGAGCGCATGAAGATCGCTTGGCGATATGAGCGTCTGGGCGAGTTTGGAGCAGGGATTGCTGGTTCAAGAGGTATACACCTTGTTATATTGTCATATTGTCACTGCACCAGTTAGGGTAGTGTGCTAACAGACGCGATTATGCAGCGCCCTCAGGAGACCAGAGCCAACCTTCCACTGATCCAAACGTGGACAAGCGGCCAGCATTCTGCCATGCATTTGACCTCACGAAACGTCTCACTCATCCTTCCATCGCAAACGTGAACTATATACCCCTGGCGCCATCGAACGAGCCCTTGTTCATGTCGATTCATAAACGACTTCAAGCCGCAATTGCCTCTTGCCCACCAAATACTGTCCATCGCATCCTCATTCCTACCTTGCTGAACCCCACGATATACCCGCCCGATTCCTGCCAGCCTGACAACCTTCTGCCGTTCCTACACTCACTCAGAGCTTTGATGAGCGCGCAGGGTGCGCGGGTGACGGCGATGATCACGTTACCCTTATCTCTTTTCCCCCGTGCCACAGGACTTGTGCGATGGATGGAATTATTGAGTGACGGTGTCATTGAGTTGTGTCCCTTCCCGCACTCCTCCGACGCTCTCGCAACCTCGGGTGCCGCTACTTCTCAGGAAGAACCACCACAGGGCATGCTGAAAGTCCATCGTCTGCCAGTACTGCACGAACGTGGCGGTGGTAGCGATCAGAACATCGGACAGGATTGGGCTTTCACGCTGAGCCGGAAGAGGTTCGAGATCAAGCCATTCAGCTTACCGCCAGCTGAAGGAGACAAGGAAGGGCAGGATGCAGCGGTGACGGGTGCAATGCCAAAGAAGGCGGATCTTGAGTTCTAAGTTTCACAATGGGTTGGGATAGCCAAAACCAGACCACAATCACTCCTCGTGATCCGAACCGTCCAACATATTTTGCAGCTCGATCTGCTCGGACATGGCGGACCCAGTGTTGACCATTGAGCGGAGGTAGTGTCTCCCATATGAGTCAAGTCCCGGTCCAGCAGGTGATGCTGAGAAATGAGACCGAAGACGAGGTGCAATGAATCTCGAGAAGCCTAGATATGCTTCGAGCTGTCAGCAGCTGTCATTAGAGATAGGCGAGTGGTGGTACCTAGGAGTAGCAGGAAGGGTGCAAAGAACACCAGGAACAGCAGGGATAAGAAGCTCATTTCGACATATAGTGGCAATCCAGCCACTTGAACAGCTTTAGATAATGATTATACGGACTCTTATCATCTAGTGGTAGCTTCCAGGAATCGCTGAAGAGCATCAACTCCCACATTCATGACTAAGCACATCCAATACACTAGCTTTAATAGGAAAGGCGTACTTCCAGGGCAGCTCTTTAAGAGCTTCCACCCCACCGAATATTTTTTCTCGCTTCCATCCTCATCGCTCATTCAACGACAATCTGGATTTGCTGGCCAAGTCCACGAGCCTCATTCTTCAATTCGATACTCTATAATGCTGAGTTGTATTGATGGTAAGCAGTGATCCTATCCTTCTGCGCAATTGTCCCTTGCTTGCATGATTATACAAATACTATAATCTGTCAATCCCCTGAAGCTCATTAAAATAATCTCATTAAAACGAGCATATGTGATTGAGAAACGTATCGAGAATGAATAGCATTTTCTTGCGCTTTTACATTTCATCCATGCCATTCATTGGAATCTGAACGCTAACGTTCATATTCAGTCGCAGCAGCAGATCCCTTGATAAATTGAATTGTGCCCCTTAGTCGCTAAAAAATGGATATCGAACCCACCCTTCCCATTCCGATCTCGTATATTGGGGGTAGCTACTTTCTCTTCTCAATTGATGCAGTTACGTATGTGAGACGCGAGCATCACATTTGCGGCGTCTTAAGCGGCACATTGCCTCAAATCCCACAACAGAATGTCTTCCTGGGCTTGCCATTGAAGCTAATGCCGGAAGAGGCCCGGTTGCTCGTGGAGAAAGGTGTAGCATGCATTGTAGACGAGGTAAAAGTCCAAAAGGACGGAATGCGAGCCCTCATGGAAGAGGACCGCAAGAAGTATCTCCGTGAGCTAGAATCTCAAGGCCAGCATGCTATGCGACTACAACACGACCGGAAGGAGCAGCAACGCGAGAAGGCTTTAAAGAAAATAGAAGAAAAGAAGGCCGCCAAGGCCAAAAAGTCTGCTGAAAAGCAGCAGCAGGAGGAGCAGCCTGACCCTGTTAATAATAAGGCTGCTGCTAAGGACCCGGTTGTTGACTTGTTCGCACACGACCAGCAGTCGTCGCGCCGTTCTTCGTCCGCCACTGCTGCTGCTGCTCCCTTTGGCACTGCTATGGGAGTCACGCCTGCTACTTCTTATCCGCCTCTTCCGTATGAGTGGTCTGCTGAGCAAAAGCTACCGCTTCCTGATGTGCCTTCCTCATACCCATTGTTCGCTCACCTTCACTCTGAAGGATACTACCTGTCTCCTGGGTTGCGATTCGGGTGTCAGTATCTTGCCTATCCTGGTGATCCTCTCCGGTTTCATTCCCACTTCTTGAGTGTGTCTGCTGAATGGGATGAAGAGTTGGATTTGATGAGCATTGTTGCTGGAGGTCGACTAGGTACTGGTGTGAAGAAGGGTTTCATGATTGGAGGAGCTGAGAAGAAGCTCGAGGGATCGGATGCTGGGGATCCCGGTAGTGTGAGGACTTTCAGCATTGAATGGGGTGGAATGTGATATGAACCATATTCGACGTTCTCTTCGATCTTATTGATCGTCTCTGAGCTGAGCTTCGCATGCTGCGCGCGCAGCTTGCCGCATATCCCATTGCTGCTTTTCTCCTCGGTGGAGTAGCAGCGCCATGTCAGAGGGAGCTGTGCAGCGCTGCAAACTGCATTTGTACGCTCTCTCAAGTCCAGCAGAAATGCACACGGACTTGACTGCAGCAGCCAACCCTCGAAACAGCTGGTAGAGCTGTTACCTGACAAGGTTACGAGAATACTCTACAGCTCTCGATGCTCCAGCACACCCCAGGCAGCGCAGTCCGACATAAAGGACTTCATTGGAGGTTATCACAGCCTTGAAGATTATACCATGGCTGAAAAACAAACATGAAATCAAAACAAAATCATTCTTCAACTATACAATTCAATGAATCTCCGCGTACACTTGTAGTTGCTACCAAATCAGAAGGTCTCGGCCGCTTGTGCACAAGGGCACGTCTCGAAAGCCTTAGGATATCCTGCTGGACCGAACTGGCAAGGCAATCGGTCTTGGTTCACTCCAAGGTTCACTCAACAGCAAGACTCGTTCAGATCGTGAGAGGCATCAAGCCTCCACCGATAATCAAATGCTGGTGCGAAGGCCGAGTAAAGTCCCGTGCCTTCGTATGAGCTGCCCCTGATAACATCACATGGATTAAACTCTCCGTAGTGGCACATGCCTGCTTGACTCGAAGCCTGTCAGGTGTGCTGCAGACGGCAGTACTCTCGATGGTGCATCTCCTGGCGCGTCAGCCTCGAGTAGTCTACCACGACTATGGTCAGACTGTACTCGGGTTCCAAGCTCTGCAGGATAGTCTCCCTGGCCGTTCCCTCGTGCAGTCCACGATAAAGCGATCTAACGATCATTTCCAATAGAAGTCTTCCATCCACTCAACAGCCTAGATATAATCCACATTCCGCCACTTGAACTTCTTATTCGCTCTGTCCACCGGACGATTCTGGAACTGACTGCCATGAAGCTCAAACACGAGCTCCTCCTCCTTCTTCTCAGAATGAGCACTCGCCTCCCTAGCCACCGCCGCCCCATCAGCATCAGCATCATCCGCCTGAGGCAAAGGCACACTAAACCGGAAAATAGTCTGCTCCTTAGGAATAGCTAAACCAAACAACCACATTAGCAACACACCCAACCCAAACTTCATCCTAAATAAAAAAGGAAGAAAAACATACTCTTAACCTCATCTCCCCTCGTAACCACCACAAACGTAAACTTCGTATCCCTCACCACAATGCCCCTAACCCCAACCCTCCCCTCACACCGACTCCTCACCACCTCCACCTCCGCCCCATGAAAATCCGCACTGGAGAGTTTACTCCCATGCGACAACGGCGTCATGGGCGGCTTGAACTTCTTCTCCCCCAAGTCCAACATATCCTGCATATACCGCACCCACATGCCATGCAGTTCCTGGAAAATCGCATACTTGCATTCTTCCTTGGGGAGGTCGTACAGCCCCGAGGCGCGCTTCTGGCGCGCGGATAAAGGCTGCGGCTTTTGCTTGCGCAGGAAGTACTCTTTCTTGCGGAGGCGGTGGAGGCGACGCCGAGAGCGGTTGTCGGCTGGTGTTGGGGATGTTGGCCGCACGTAGAGTGGCTTTTGTTTTATGCGCTCGGTGAAGAGTTGGGTCGCTGTGTCGGGGGAGTGGGCGCGTGAGAGGAGGGTGTGTGCGATGTGGGGTTTGGGGGTTGTCATTTTTATGGCTGTTTCGGGTTGTATGATTTGGGGATGGATATGTTGGGGATTGGAGTGGTGATTTATTGGTGGTGGTGGTGACGGAGTGATGGTGTTGGTGTTGGAAAATTGGTGGTTATCGGAGTTGCTGATAAGATCACATGCTGATTGGGTTGAATCCGCTGGTTGGAGATGTATGCAACTTAGACTCTTGCATTCAGCATCATTTCATCGGGAATAAATTCACTTGCGATTTCTTCTGTTACTATAATTTGATGAAGTTACAGGGTTATCACTGGGAAAAGATTGATCAGTTCGAAGTATCTTCAACGCCAATTGTGACTTGATGAAGCTAAGTCAAGGCCTCGCCTACTAATTAATTGCCATAGCGAATAGCTTGATTGTGACGACACTATAATGAGTGCTAACCTAAAGACGATCTTTACATCAGGAATGCTACAGGCGTCCTCTATACGGCTTCTGAAATAGGATTACATACATATACAGTCCCTGCATCCGGTCTTGTCTGTTAATCTACGTCTACGCAATATCAAGCTATGCAGCAAAGAAGCCCCCAGATCAGATTATAGAGCACGATGTACTGATCATTCAGATAACATGACAGTTTAATTATCATATATGATGTGCTATATGTCTGAATGTGCGGCCTTTCTAAATCACATTATGGTTGCCGATCATCCCTCGGCATAAACGTCTTCCCCGCATATCACAAACTATATATACTCTACCAACAGTTGGTCGATAATGGGAAATTTCCACTAGAACGAATGTGCATCCAACTAGTAAACAACCAAAATGTCCAATCCAAGCAGCCTACTACCTCCATTTCCCTCCTCCGTCCCTACAGCCCCCCTCCTCCGTCTCTCACTTTCCAAATTACAAGCCCACGATGTCACGGAAACCCACAACCTCCTACAAGCCTGCAAAGACATCGGATTCTTCTACCTCGATCTCCGCGACGCCGACGAGGGAATCGCCCTCTTAACCAACGCAGACCAGCTCTTCCCAATCGGCGAACGTCTATTCGACCTTCCCCTGGACGAGAAGAAGAAATACGACCTCGCCAGGCAGAACTCCTACTACGGATACAAAGCGCTAGGCGCCATGATAGCAGACAGACAGGGCAACCTAGACGGGAACGAATTCTACAATGTCCTTATCCCCACTACACCCTCCTACACACACTTCCAACCACATACTAACACTCACCTACATAGGTCTCCAAAGACGACATCCTAAACCTCATCACACCCCCCCTCCCATCCCCACAAATCCTCCAAGAATCCCGTCCCCTCCTCTCATCATTCATCCAAACCTCCCACAACATCGTAACCCTCCTTCTCTCAATCCTAAGCACCAGCCTCTCCCTCCCCTCCTCTTCCACACTCCCCAACCTCCACCGTCTATCTGCCCCAAGCGGGGACCAAATCCGCTTCATCAAAGCCCCTCCTACCACCAGCACCACCCAGAACCCCACACTAGGCGAACACACCGACTTCGGCAGCGTCACCATCCTCTTTAACCGTCTCGGAGGCCTACAAGTCCTCCCTCCGGGGGCGGACGCAGAATGGACGTACGTCCGCCCCTTACCCGGCCATGCTATCATCAATCTCGGTGATGCGATGGTGAAGTTCACGAACGGGCTGTTTCGGTCGAATATCCATCGCGTGGTTGCGCCGCCGGGACAGCAGGCGGGGTTCACGCGGTATAGTCTGGTGTATTTTGCGAGGCCGGAGGATGAGGTTCCTTTGCGGCGGTTGGAGTCGGATAGGATTCCGGCGTTGGGGGAGGGCGTGGTTGAGGAGGAGATTAGTAGTAAGGATTGGGTGATTAGGAGGGCGTTGGGGAGGAGGGTTGATTTGGGAAGGCCGGTGGATTATGAGAAGGCGGTTGGGACGGAGGGAGTGAGTAGGAGGTTGGGGGTGTAGAGTTGGGGTATTGCAGTAATTGTGATGGTTTCTGTCTATGGGAGTGTTGGCTACAGGAGCGTTGGTGTGCATCGAGAGGATTTTTATATGATTATTGTTGGGCCTGGTTGATGCGTGGAGGGGTATACTAGAGGGTTATGTCGATCATGAGAAGTAGCCAGTATCCAGTGTCTGTAGTTTATATGATGAAAATCTTGTGAACGATAATCAGAGCCTTGGTAGCATTGCTATTTGTTTTTTTCAATATAGACTTTTCTCGTGCAATTAGGCATTAAAGTCACAACACAGTCAACAAACTACTACTTCACTCAAAATCATCAGGATAATCATCCTCATCATCGTACGGCAGACCGTGCACATCCAACATGCCGCGTCCAGTAGACTCCTGAATCTTCTGCATCTGATGCCTCGACTGAGACTGATACAAAGCCACTTCATCAAAGTCTTCACGTCTATCGGCTTGCCACTGCTGAGCACCGATAGTCCGAGGAGATCCTCCACCTCCACCTCCACCACCTACGAGGTCATTCGCGCGACCACCACCACGACGCCGATTCCTCGGAGGCGACATAACCTCCTCAGAAGACCTCATAGATTGTTGGTTATAGCCAGAAGAGAATCTATGTAGAGCCCGATCACCCGACATATTAGGCAACCAGTCATCTGACCGTAACCGTTCAACAAAGGCGCGATGCGCCATATCAGCTCCGAGGACGCGCGAGACATAGTCATAGAATTCCTTGGACGCAGCAGCGACTTGCTGAACGTGCTTAACCTGCAAGAAAACCGGCTTTGAGGTTTCCTCAGCCTCGAATTCCGCCAGCGCGATGGCGGTTTGACATCCGTTGCGAATCTGTCGCCCGTTCCAGCGGGTTCTGGACTTACTGTTCTGCTCCCAGGTTGCGTCAGCCCACTCCAGGATGGGGCCGGTGTCGATGGTTAGTGATGTCTTTCGAGACTTGGCTCTTTCTAGATTCATCTCCCAGATGGCGTGGTTCTGGCCTTTGTTGAGCCCCGGGTAGTAAAGTGCTAGGTGGATGCGAGAGACGAAGGCTTCGTCGAAGGATCCTACTCGGTTGGTGGTGAGGAATAGTAGGCCTTTGTAGTATTCTAGTACTCGTAGGAAGACTTTTCGTTTGGAATGTCAATGTCAGTAAGGATGGAGGATCCTGTCAAATAGAGTAGAAGGGGGATATGCTCACCTGATACAATTGCGTTCCTTTCCAACTCCGTTTTGCTGCGCGCCGCAAGGAAGACGTCGGCTTCGTCTAGTAGTAGGACGCAATTCCACGCCTCAGCCTGGGCGGATATACGATTCAGATTGTCTTCCACTACTCCCGCGCTTGTCCCCAAGTCACCGCAGGTGATCGGATACAGTGGTCTTCCAAGCCAAGCCGCCATACATTCAGCAGTCGAGGTCTTGCCTACACCCGGCTCGCCGTGGAGCAAGATAATAAGGCCTTCTCCTTTTCCTCTGACCACATCCGGATCAATCTGTTGGCTTTCTCCGTCCTCTTTCGACTCTCTATCTGCAAAATGGCGCTTCACCTGCGCGTAGAGCATTCTCTTGTGACCCGGTCGCAATTTGAGATTTTTCCAGCCATCGTCGGTAGGAACCGGACGCATGCATTCGAGGTCGCAAAGTGCCCAGCGACGGCGATGGAGATTCCATGCGCAAGCACGGTCGGGCATCATAACAAGCTCATCGTTGCTCCAGAATTCCTTCCTAGTTACTTGCTGTTCCGGGGCAGACTCTTGCCGAGTCAGGAAGGCATCGTCGCGGATGAAGTCCTTGGTTAACTCTGCATCCACCCAGTCGTCGTCGTAGATCGTTTCGGGAGACGATCGAATATATTCCTTAGACTCGCGGTTTGCTAGTACTTGGATATACAAAGATTCGGATACTTCGCTTCCTGTTCCTCCCATGGTACTGGGAATCGACAAGCTGGGCACCCACTCCTGGTCGTCGTTGCGGGCTGTTTTGAAATCAACAATGATATTACCCTTTATATAGTCGGTCCGTCTGTTAAAGCTTCCCGGGCAGGATGCGCCATCCATGTGGCATGTTAGGGTGGACCCCGAATAGAAACGATGTTGTGGGGTAGCGAAGGTAGCAAAGAGCTCGCCTTGCTTCAATAACTTATCGCGCAGCGCTGGGTAGCCGCCCACAAACTGAGTCGGGACTATGCCCAAAGACCGAATTGGGCGCTCTCCACTGAAGTGAGGAAGATGAAAGTCTCGTGAAAGCACGCCGAATTGCCCTCCATCGTATCCAATCTTATAAAGTCGGATGATGAAAGGGTTAACCCGTCCGGAGTAGCTGGAGTCCAGGACTGGTCGTCCCTCAGAAACCTGCAGCACTTTCCATATACTTGGACGATTGGTTGGCTGGACATGTGGTGCACTTTGCTCCGGAGTGAACCAACAAACCACCTGTATACCTGGGTGGAATAGATACCATAGATTGCTGAAAGAGATTGTTGGGTCAATTGTCGATGGGCTTAAAGTGAAGTTTTTTAGTAGAGCACGATGGCGGCTTATTACCGGACTGAGATGACGATCCATGAAACTGACAAGGCAGTCGAGCGCACGAAAGGCCTGACGAGAATCAATTGGCTCTTTGCCTGGTTCTAGAGGTGTAGTATCATCGAGCTCCTCATGTTCACTCTCTATTTTCCATTTAGCAGCGAGCTGTCGATGCCGGTCGCGGATCTCCTCGTCGTATCCGACGAGTACTTTGTATGGGCGTAAGATGACAAATGGGGCAGACTGGTCAATCTTGGAAACAATATCCTTCAAAATGGACGCTAAAAGACTGTAGTTGATTCGAATACGCTCAGGGAGATCATTTTCAGCGCCGCCAGTATCTATTTGGGCCTCGGATCTCCTTCTGGTTTCATTTCGTTCTCCTCAGCCCTGATCAGGGCAAGGATTCCGAAGCGGCGGATGCTTCTCTCGGTTTGCTGCCAGCAGTATTGCGCAGGACCCTCCAAGACATCGATGACGTGACGTTTTTCCTCGGCATACATCGTCTTGAATTCGTTCCATTTCACGTAACGGAGATCCATAATAACATCATCGGAATCATCGCATGGGTAATGCCTGGACTCTTCGTCTTCCGTATCGGTGGAGGCAGAGCCATCATGGCTGTGGTTGTCATCTTCCTTATCGTTTGCAGCTTGCTCGGGAATCTTAGCATTGTTTTCTTCGAGACTTTGTATTCTATCGCGAAGATCCTGCAACTCTTTCAACAACTCCAGAGGGGCGTCCTGGTTCAATAGCTTCGTAGGAGTATCGACCGGGATCTCCACTACCGGCTCTTCAGTGATGGTCGCCATGCTGGGATGATATTTCCAAGTGTAAATCAGATCGACTGGCGAACGTTCATGAGAAGCAAAGACACCACATTGAAGGGCCAAAGACCATGATTCGTGTACCGCTCTTCTGAGTGTGGCTTTATATGCCTGTAGGCTCAGCACATCTCCATTGAGACAGTTGAGAGACGTGCGCTTCAGCCAGGAAAGACATAGCACTGCAAATGTAACCCACAACGAAGCTTATTGTAGTTCGGACCTCCGGGAATGAAATCTGGCAAATGAGAAGCTGAGGACGAACTATCCCTGTCTAGGGTCGGAGTCTCGGGCTACCGTGCATGAACTACATGGCGAGACCGTGTCCAATATGCAACATTCGTTCAGCTTCGTGGATGGCGTTCTTTATGTGCCGTCATTGCATGAGACAAACAGTATCCAACCACTCCAAATTTAGAGGAGCTGAGAGTGGCTGGCTGAACAACCTGGAGATAGCATCTGGCACAAATAACAGCGTGAGAAATCCGGCAAGTGCACGGCTTCCCTGCCTGTAAACCCGCATGGAAGGAGCCATCTGCACGTCAGCCTATCTATAGCAGTAGAAAATGCTGTCGTACTCCTCCGCGGGCTGGACTATGCTTGCTAGTCAGTTTGACTTTCTCGTACGGAGAAGTCCGTAGATACTTAGAGATCCAGTCCCTCAAATGTCGATAAGGCTGGAAAATGTCAGGCCGAAAGTCTTGTTTACGGCATCCCCTCTACGTGATTGACGGCGCGAAAATGCCACGAGTGGGGGATTCACCCACCTATAGGCCAGCAGGGTAGTCATTCGACTGCACCTGTCTTTGTGGCTGAACTATGCGTGCTAGCCGACCTGGCCTGATCACGCGGGGGTCATATAGACGTAAGACGAATGATGCCCACATATCTATACTGGTGAGCCAGATAACGAAGGCAAGAGTACTCTGAGGAAGGCAGTAAACCATCATAGCCGCAGGCAAAATGGAGCCACCTCTGATGCCTAGAATGAGTCCGGAGCAAGAAACTCACATGGCAAAAAGCTGGCTTAGAGGACATGGCCATCGACTCCGGTTACCGCTTACCCACAAGACCCAGCCACAGCCGTCAGCCCCGATCGAACCCGCAGACACCCAGCAAGATCTTAAGGAAGAGTGAGGCGATATGATGCTCCTGTTCCACCATGTTCTGACCCTTTTATTTTAATGTCGACGAGGTAGATGAGTTTTGCCAAGTCATCCAATGCTATTCGAACGAGACAAAGAGTAGTAGTGAGCATAATGCTGGCCAAGGGGGCGTAAGGTTTGATATATATGGCGCGCACAGCTGGAAAGAGGTGGTTAGTATCGTCCAAGCGGTCGAGAAAGATTACAAGCACAGCGCTACTGGCTGGAAGGGGGCTGCGAGATGGGCCTTTCGCAAGCTCGGTGAGCATGCAGAGGACTTCAACCCTTGGTTGGACCTTTTGCCGGATGACAAGTATTTTAGCATTGCTTGTGGCGGGCTCAAGATAATACTCGGTGTTAGTACGCTCTGTGTCGCTGGCTTCATGCATACTGATCCAAGTAGATGGCAGCGCGAAGAAGCGAACAGCGGGAGGTTATTCTTGCATTCTTTGCTGAAATTCCAGAAATTATCTTCTGGACCGATCGCTACCATTCTCTTTTCCAGGATGAGGAGGGTTTGAAATCCTACCTGTACGAGTTTTATCTCGCTCTCCTGGCCAGAATTCAAGGCATGATTGCAGCGTTGGTGGATGTATCTCTGTGTAGGTGTCGTCGGCTTTTAGCTCCAGCGGAGATGACACAAATCCAGTCCTGTACTAACATGCATATTTGAATCAGGGAGAAAGATTATCTCTGGTCTGCGTGTCAAAAATGCAGACAAATCGCTTGGACACGTCAACCAACGCTTCTCGCGGGCCAGGACCCAGCTCGACAAACATCTCCAATTCGTGCGCGATCGGCTACAAGTGGATACAAATCAACGAGTCGTTTATATAAAGCCGATCGTGGACAATCTTGCAACAGGGCAGAAAAAAGTGATTCAGCAAAATTCAGATTTGCGAAATGACATGCGCGAGGGCATAAATCGACTGGAAAGGCGGTTGAAACCATGGGGCATTGTCGCGGAGCAGATGGAGCAGGTCCTTCAAAATGAGTTGCAGAAAGCGCAGTGTAGGTTCTTAGTGCTATTTCTATTTAACTCAGACATTGACCTTGCACTTCAGGGCGAATTAACCGGGAGAATATACAACGAGAGAATCGGCAGTGGCAGATTATGCGCCAAGGGTATCCCAGAAGTGACCTCTACTTCTTCCTTCGTTTGGATGAGCAGGACGTGCGGCAGCAGCTTATTCAAGATCTCGATGATACGGGTCGCGATGGACAAGATATTGATATGGCTGCTCAAACCCACGCTCAACAACTTCTCCGTATGCCACAATTTCAAGATTGGATCCGGTCTGACCAGCCAGACATGCTCCACGTCGACGGAAACTGTGACGACTATGCTATGGCGAGATGTTCTCCATTCAGGCTCCTTTGTTGCGTACTTGCCAATGAGTTACTACAGCAACCGCAAGCCCAGTTTCTATTCTTCTTCTGTGGACTGCACAACCTGGCTGGGGAGCCCATGGCAGGGCCGGTAGGTCTTGTCAAATCGCTCATCATACAACTGCTCCTGGATAGGGACGACAAATATGATCTCCTTTTTCTGACCATTGGGCGGAGAGAAGAAGCGTTGTATCAAAATGATCTTCCCTCTCTGTGTGAGACATTTAGGGAAATGCTGGTCCAAAACCCCTCCGCTGCTCTTTTCTGTATCATCGACGGTGCATCGCTCTTCGAGGTGCGAGAATGGCATGAAGAGATGGAGTATGTTGTTCAGCAGTTGTTCAACCTAACGACTGATCCGGACATTGCAACGGTGTTCAAGGTACTTATTACGAGCCCGGGTATTAGCCGACTCGCAAGTGGTGTGCCTCAAAACTGTCGCTTGTATTTGCCAGAAAGCAACGAGAGAATATCAGACGCTGGCTTCCGGAGCCCAGAGGCATTCCAAGACGAAGTCTGTCGTCGTCGAGATGACTTGGCAGATACTGCGGGAAAATATGAGGCCAACCCCTATGAGGCAATGTACAAGGTGGACATGTACAGTGAAGAATATGAGTAGAAAGTGAGAAGCACTATTAAGTATGATCGATCATCATGGTGATGAATTAAGATAGCGACAATCCTTCCGACGAATCTAAGTTGTAGAGTTGAAAGATATATCCCAGTTGCAATAGTACTTACACAGTTCTCCATACTATGTTGCTCTTTGATATTCTATGTCCACAAAATATTAATGAATACGTAATGCAAAGTGCCTTCGAGCCCATTTCCATCATCGTCTCTTGCCACCACTGAATCCTTACTAGCACATAAGCAGATTTACCGCTCGCTCACCTCATCTACCTGGCTATATTGACCCTCAATATAGCTACTTACCTCATAAACCAAAAAGACAACAAACATAACAAAACCAAACCAGTAAAAAAACACAATACACTAATGCAACATACCAGCAAGTGCCCCGTACAACTGTATCGTAAATAACAAACCTTGGTTGCCTAATAAACCGCCAAGAAGGCAACTACGCATATATGCATGCACAAAAGTAATGAGTCAGAAAAAGAAATCAAACCTAACCCAGCCTACTGGCACATCTTTTTTTTTTTTTTTTTTTTTTTTTACAAGGATGAACTCATATTCGGTTCCGGCCTGTTGGGTCGCCATACATGAAAAAGAAATGTCCACATTGATAATCTGAGTTTTTGCTTTGTTTTGTTCTTGTTTTTGCTTTTGTTCAGATTTGGGGGCTTGGCTCGGTGAAGACATACATAATAAATAACTTTTATGAGTGGGAGTATCTGTGGGTTCGGTCTTGGTTACTTTCTTGGGAGGGGTGCGCTGAGTGGCTTATTTCTTTTGTTTGTTGTCAGTCTTACATCATGTTTATTATATGTTACTGTGGTGGGTTACGTGGTCATGCTACTACATATATATTAAGGACAAGGAATAAATACTCTCCGCTGTATGTATTAACTAACCATGAGAGAAATTGAAACATCAGCCAACAAATTCGAATCCCGTGTATTCCGTATCAAGAGAGTTTACCAGGATCTTCAATCCCAAGTAACCCTGACCCGACATGCCAAGAAAATGATCGATGCAATGCATGGATTGCCCTGTTTCTGGTCGATGGCAATCAGTCAGTTGACAAATCGCCAGATACTTCCGGTAGGCAGGGTGGTTGCAAGAGAACCCTTCCACCGGAGCGGTGACGATTCTTTCAAGCAAGCAGCAAGCAGCAAGCAAGCAACTGGTGATTATGCGAGGGTAAGCGGAGAAAAAGTAAACATGATGGCTGGGGATGACGCAAGTGGGCGGATGAACGCGGTTATATACAGGACAAGGCTTTACTTTGGATGAGTGTAAAGTATTGAAAGATCGGGAATTTGTCATCGAGTTGGTTTTTCTTTGTCTTTCATGTGTTTCTTCTCAACTCATCCATTGCTTTTCTATATGATTTTATTACTAGAGCATTATTTTCCTCAAAAACCTCGTGAGAATCACACAAAACATGATACACTTTGAGCACTGCAAATCGATTTATTACTACACTACACTAAGTAGCATATGATTAAAAGATAAAGAAATGAGGATATTGACCAAGATACTCTGTAGATATCCGCAATTCTCCGGCGGGTCGTCGACGGACCGGACCGTTTGGAATACTGTATTTCCATGTATGTACTATATAGATAAGGCATGCCATGATCATCACCAGGATGACGCTTCACGACTCGGAAGGTCGGCCAATTTGAAAGAAGCAAGAATTATCTACCCCCTTGATCGACGTAAGAGGCTAGTATCTCACTAATTGTCCTCTTGATTACAAAACTGTTAACATCATGATGCTAAAGTAAAGTTACACAAGATTATCAAAAATCCTTCCGTAAGTATACACCGGATTTTGTCAGGACGTATACTCACCTTACACTCATTCCGCCCTTCGTGTCGACAATATCTTTTTTGGTTGCTCTACCAAAAGAAGTAACATGTTGCGTTAAGATCCAAAATCACGAAGTTTTGGAGGAAATCGGTCTACTATCAATCATTGTGGATTCGATTTGCTCGAACATAAATGAAACACTTTTTTTGAGTCTATTCCTAGACACGGACTTCCAGGCTGTCCGCTAGCTGTCATTGGAAGGGGAGCTTTACACATCACATCTCACGTTCTTCAGGCTACTGCACAGCCTTTCAACTAAACATATAGTGTCCATCAAGTCATTGCACAGCTTATCCACATACTGATTCTCCTCTCTTGGAATCCATACATATTGCAAATCTCCCTTCTCCTTAAGCCGGCCATCGAGAACCGCTGCTTTCTCAAGGAGATCTCGATTTGCTACCTCAATTCCTTTACGGTTCATCCATCCGTTACTGATCCACTTGTAAATCCACTTCTCCATACAAATAACTGCATATGTCGAGTCGGAGTAAATCGTGACATCCAGCCGAGGCTGCGAATATAGATGGTCAGATTTATCCAGAGCCATCCTTAGACCAAGGATAATGGATGTGATCTCGGCTCGTTGATTTGTCGGGGGTGGGATATAAAGGTAATTCTTCTTTTGTCTCGCCATGAAATACACCGGACGCGCTCTTGACAGCAGCGGCCGCCGCCCCGATCGAGCCTGGCTGTCCGTTAGCTCTACAGCCACCGTCAACGTAGATTTTCATGATATAAACCATGGTGTGATGGTTGTTCAAGGGAAGGACGTGGGATTCGGTCTATGGCTACTGCGGATACGCAAGCCTTCTTGTAGGCGCCTCCAAATATCCAAAGCGTGCCTTTCCGCGGGTATTTCCATTGGCTGTATAGTTTGAATTTCCGGAGGCTTTTATGGGTTCTTCATGAGATCTTTGCAAGTTGGTGCTTCACGTGTTTGAATGGGCAGTTCCCGGCAGTTTCCCTGTACCCACGATGCGTGTTTAACTCTCAGCTCTAACCTTTCTCTGTGGTTTCTGAGCAGATTCTCTTCAAGGCTTTTGGCAAGTCCCAGGATAGCAATGCAACATGCATAAGTAATCTTGAGTTCACGTCTGCTTTGTCTCCATTGCTACCTCCCAGTCACGATGTCTTTCCAAACACCACGATATATCCTTTGTGTTGTCGTTAGTATCTTTGCTCTATTATTGGATAGAAATGCTGATAGATAGTTTTCATGGATCTGCGAGAATTACCTAGTTGTCAACGCTATCTATGCTGTGATTGAGGCGGTTTCATGCTGTTGAGGTATATATCAACTGGATGAGAAGTAAGAGACCAATGCCTTAGTGAGTAATCAGTAAAGTGATAATATACAATACCATTTCCAGCTATCACACTATCATTACTTTCCTACCATATTGATTCTCCTTGGCCGAGATGATTATACTACTAGTCAACCCTGGCTTTTGCGTGCCTCTTCCACCTCTATTTCAATCTTTGATTCCGCTCCTCCAAACGCTTGCTTTTGCGCGTCTCTTCTATCTTTATGTTAATCTTTGCTTCCGCTCTTTTAGATACTTGTTTTTATATATCTTTTTCATCTTTGTTTTGATTCTCATTTCTGTTTTTTCTAATATTTATTTTTATTTTTATTTTTATTTTTGCTTTTGCTTTTCTAACTACTTTATTTTTAATATTTTTCTCTTTTTAATTAAATATTTACTTCCACTCTTTCAAACATTTATTTTTATATATTTTCTATTTTTATGAACCTTATTTGAAGTAAGCCCCTGAAACCCTGAGGTTCCACTTAGTTCAGTGGAGCAATTATTTACTGATTACATCGAGCCGCGGCAGTATCAGTGATCAAGGAAGCACAGCAGAGCTTACGCAAGGCAGATAATATTGAGATAATTAAGTAGCTTCATTTAATCCGAACCAGAACGGAATAAATATCAGCTTAGGGCAGATAGGTGTGGGTATTCAAATGACCACGATCTTCACAGGTATCTTGTTTTTAATATGGCACGCTACGTCTATAAAAGAGGGGTTATGCAGCAAGAATATCGGGCTTGGCTTCCTAATGAGCTCATCCTGAACGTATTATCATACAGTGATCCCTACGATTTACTGAATTTCCTACGTGCTAACCCTAAAGTCTCTTGGTTAGTGACCTCTCGACATACTTTACGTCGGGATGAGCTGGGAAACAATATACTACACCTGCTCATATTAGAGGAGGAGACCGACTTAATTATGCCTCTGCTGTCTAAAAAGGGCATTCAGATGGATTCAGTTGACAAGAGTGGCCGTACCCCCCTATTACACGCGGCAATGAGAGGAAACGAAGTCGTTGTACGGGAGCTGGTAGGCAAAGACGGTGTTGTGGTGAAAATGCCGGATCATTTTGGGCGTACACCACTCTCCTATGCAGCTGCGAATGGACATGAAGCAGTCGTGAAACAGCTGCTGTGGCATGATGGTGTAGCACCTGACTTGAAGGATCTTCTAAGCCGAACACCCCTTTCATATGCGGCTGGCAACGGACACCAAGCCATTGTGAAGCTTTTATTGGAACGACATGACGTTGAGGCCGATTCTAGGGATCATCGCAGCAGAACACCACTATCTCACGCTGCTGGTAATGGATTTGAAGAGGTGGTAAAGCTCCTCCTAGCGCGACACGACGTTGAGGTGGACTTTCCGGATTGCGCTAACCAGACACCATTACCTTGGGCGGCCGAGCGAGGATATGAGGCAGTTGTGAGGATATTGATCCAGCGAGGAGACGTGCATACTAACCTCATTGATAACTCTGGTCGGAAACCACTATCCTATGCGGCGGGAAACGGTTACGAAGGGATTGTGAAGCTCCTGGTACAGCACGGTGATGTCGATATTAACTCCAAGGATCACCAGGATCTGACGCCCCTGTCGTGGGCGGCAGCAGCTGGCTGCGAAGGGGTGGTACAAATCCTCACGCAGCAAGATGACATTGAACTTGACTCAGCTGATGTTTTCGGACGAACACCAATGCTATAAGCAACCTTTGGTGGATACGAACGAGTCTTAAAACTACTCTTGAGATAATCTAGGTTGGCAATAATCACTAAGACAACTAGGTTCAAAAAGCTGAGAAAAGTGATAACCTAGACATGGGCAAAGGAGCTTCTTTAAAACGGAATCAAATTGGGGTTACTAAGTATTCTATAGCCCTCGTAACTCTACAAGCTTTGGCTATTTCAGGATATGTAGGTAGCCCGGCTAACTTTTATAGTTTGTTCTGTGGCTCTCCTGCTTGAGAGTTCCACCAGCGGTGTAATAGCAAATCTTAGGCTTTCCTGGATAATGGTGCTTTAGAGGACTCAACATCTTCTGCATTTGTACAGCTCTCTCCTACAGACCATACAAACGGTCAGCGTCAAGCATGTTAATCTGCAACTGGAGCCCACTGGAAATAAGACAAAGTAAAATGGAAATCTAAGTAAAAAGTCTCTCAAGACAAACAAAAAAAGATTGTGGTTCTCCCCTGGTGATGCAACCCCTAGCGCATTCATAGTGACCTTTCCGTCCGTCTTCAGCTACTTTCAAGATTGGCCGCATATTCCCTGGCTGTACCCTTTCCTATAGCATGCAGACTCGCTATTGTAATCCCTGCTACGATAACCAAGCTCGCTCGAATATGCCTCGAGGGAATATAGATTCTTGTTGTAGTCTATAGCTAAGTTCACCACCCCAGCAACGGAAGCTTTAATGAGATCCATATAAACCATTTTAAATTCGGCAGTTTTCCTCGCTAAATATCTGAATCACTCTATCAGCTTGCCATTGCTATCTTTGGCCATACTCTAATTAATGCCTTATGGGCTTTATAGAGTCGCTGTATGCTCCGCACTGATGGCTTGCATAACAGGACCGATGAACTTTTTTTTAAAAAAAAAATCACTCGTGATTTTCTATACTGTCACTCCTGTTAACATCGTTTTATATATAAACTAATCAACTAGTCATCTGTTTTCTCCGTGGATCTATACCCCATCAAACCCTGCCGACTTGGCATTCCTGGCTGCCATTGTAAAGTTATTAATAACCTCCCCAATATCCTCCCCAGCTATCTTGTGAGGTACGAGCCCCGGATAATATTCAGCTGCACTGGATGAGATAAGTTCTGCATCTACCCCAGCTACCTCGCAACTTATTTCAAGATCCGCCTACGCAACCGATCGCCTACAGCTGTGCATAGATTTAGGATGTCTTTGTGTGTATATTATCTATGACCTTGCACCACTGTGCAATCTACTTGGACGACTGAAGTCTGGGAATATTTCAGTAAAATTATCTATTGAATATCTGGAATTAATAGAATAATATATCAAATATTCTGTTTGTGTATCGGAAAGAGAACTACAGACTATGATTAACACATTTTCCGTTACTCTGGACCCTTGGTCTCATCTTCTTAAAGTGCTTTCATCTGTTAAATACAACAAATACGAACCGTTCTATATCATTAACACTGAGTACAAGTCCTTTGGCCAGACTAGTGCAGGGATCGATGTCGACATTCTTATTCCTCGAGCCCTCTCGGCAGAAAGAGGATTGCTGACATGTCCGATCATAGTGCGCATCCACGGGGGATTTTTGGTAGTGCTATCCTACTACTGCTTCCGTTTCTTCTTCACTAACAGATTTATCTACCTTGCAGATCACCGGTTCCAGTCTCTATCCCCCGTGGTTTTCAAACTGGATCTTGGACTATGCCACCCAGAATGGAGCCATAATCGTATCCCCTAACTACCGACTCCTCCCTGAGGCAATTGGAGAAGATATTCTGGAGGACATATACGACTTCTGGACCTGGCTGCAGGGCGACAGTCTGAGCCATGCGGTCAAGGATGCTGGCTATCCACATATCAAGCCGGCGACCGACAAGACCCTTATTGTGGGAGAGAGCGCAGGTACGTCACCTTGCTTATATCGCCTGCTTCCCCTAGTCAAGAATACCTGACCTTTAATTCGCACTGACGTTGAAAAGGTGGATATCTGGCTATGCAATTAGCTCTCACCTACCCGTCGGAAATTCGCGCCGTTATTGGGGCCTACCCGATCTTGGACCCTAAAGCCAGGTTCTACACTGAGGCATATCAGAAGCCAATTCTTCGGGTTCCGAACATGTCCAATGATATCATTGAGCAACATGTGGCTTCCCTGAGAGCATCCCAACCAGGAAGAATCGTCACCGCTGCGGAATCCCCCGAGAGACTGAAGCTAGCATTCGCTGTCTTTCAGAACGGACGTCTACTGGAATTCTTAGGGTCTCAGAATCCGGAGTTGTTCCCAATAGAAAGAGTCGAAAGGCTTGCGGCTGTCGGGCGGCTGAAGTTGCCTCCATTATTCATTTTCCACGGGGAGCAGGATTCTGCTGTTCCCTCTGCGGGCACAAGAAGATTTGCGGAGCTGTTGCACGAGAAAGGCAATGCTGGGCAAGTGAGCATGTATATCCAGAATGGTGATCATGGCTTCGATTTTGATGCGACGTTGCAGACACCTTGGTTGAGGAAGGGGCTGGAAATGATATCGAAAGCTTGGATGGGCTCCAATCATGGTACTCTGCATTTGTAAACTGTCATAAGTCAGAGTTCAAATGGGATTGGCAAGCCTGATACTCTGGCTGGCTCTCTAAGCTTCAATTCATTGCATCCATAATAGAGAAACGCACAGTTTAACGATCTAACATTGCTATCTTCGACTTTCTCTGCCAGGAATACCTCTGCTAGGCTACTTCAGGCTGCTTCATGGACATTGCTTACATACATTAATATTTCCCTATCCCAATGTGCTACATGTCATAGCCTCCAACAGGCTCTACTGATTACCCGCTGAATGGGATTTTTCCAGGGCTCGAAGCATAACTGTGCAGGGCGGGAACAGGGAGATCCGAAGCCAGAATCACCTATTTGGGAAGGTGAGAATTATGGACTGCAATCCAGGAAAGGCAACTTAATTAGCAAATAGATGGTTTCCCCTGCACCATTCTGTTTGCTACTCCGCAATCCGGGGTAATGCATGGTGGAGTATCTTCATACTGTCCAATGTCCGGCGAGAGATAATGTGTAATCTGTGATAACAAGGTTTCTTTATCTCTTCATGTGCTGATATGTTATCTTCTAGTGTCACGTCAATGAGTGCTATTCGTTCGGCGCAAGGGATAGAAGGGGTTGATCGCGATAGGTGAATAAGCATGTCTACAACAGTTAGAGTACTTAAGCCATTCTTATAAATAGGTCTGTGCCTCACAGCATGGTCCTATTCCATTTCTATCGGCAATTCAGTATCCCTCTCCACTCTCAAAGTAATCAGTATCATGAAAGACCATATACCCCAACATGACCTTGAAGTATGCCCCGACAGTCAAGGGGATGCCAAGGGTCTCGGTCAAACCTTTGACCTTGATGAAGCTATCCTACGGGCTCAAGGCCGTGAGGTAGAGTTGACACGGTCCTTTTCTTGGGTTGGTGCTCTCGGTTTGGCGTTTAGGTCCGCACTCCCCGCTTGCATCCATGATGATACGCTTGAACTCATTCATTGTCAAGTATCGTCAATTCCTGGTTAACCTACGCTTCCTGCTTTGGCGTAGCGTATAGCTATGGGGGAGGCCAGATTGCTACCTTCAGTCCCCTTCTTTCAGCACTGACACAGTTGGTTATGCTTCAAGGTGTTGCGGAGCTTGCATCTGCCTTTCCTTCGTCTGGTGTAAGTCGAAGCGCGAAACATATTGACAGACCGTCTGGGGACGGAGTGACTAATATATACCGCCTTTTGAGCAGGGACAATATCACTACACGTACATCATTGCACCTAAGCGATTCAAGAACTTTGCCGCCTACGTTGTGGGAATGATCAACGTCATTGCTTGGTGGATCAACACAGCCTCTGGCACTATATACACGGCCATCTCTGCTTTTGGAATCTGTAGATTCTTAATTCCTGGCTTTGTGGGCGCACAGTGGCAGGTCTATCTATGCTACCTCCTTGTTATTCTCCTTACTTGTGAGATAAACAACCAACACTGGTCCAAGGCAGAGGAAGCAAGAAGCTCACATCGATAGTGCTCCCTATCTTCATTATCCCCCAACACCGAGTCGACGCAATGACCCAGAGCTCCATGTTTCTATCGATTCTGGGATTCTTTCTGGTCATGATTGTCTGCCTCGTTATGGGCAAGGGAACATACCGTCCCAGCAGCCTGGTCGAATACCAGCCTAGAAGCGGTTGGGCCCCTGGGCCAGCATGGCTTCTCGGAATAGGGAACGGAGAATACGCATTCGTTGCAGCAGGAGCCTGTGTGCATATATCCGAGGAGATCCCGAAACCGAGTCGTAGGATTCCACTTGTAATGTCCGTTCTCCCCATACTACCTGCTCGGTATATATATGTGACATTCCTAACAATTGTCTTACAACAGCAATCTAACAATTCTCATCGGTGTGCTCACCCTCATGCCTTGGATCATTGCAATGACATGCGTTATACAAGACATCGACAGTGTGCAGAATTCTTTCCTCCCCAGTCTGGAGCTCTTCTATCAAGCCACGAACAGCAAGGCCGCTGCTGCTGTTCTCCAGGCGTATCTTACTATTTTGTACTACAGTAAGTAGCCACATCCCTTCACACAATTCTCCTCTCAGTAAACGATACATCACTAACATCTACATCACCCAGCGTGTGTCCCCAGCCAATGGATCACCAGCAGCCGAATGACATGGGCGTTTTCGCGCGACGTGAGTCAAACCTCCCTACACCTCATCCTACTCCCAAAACACCACCATCAACCTAACCACAAATCCACATTAACAGAACGGCCTCCCCTTCTCAACCCACTGGTCCAAGGTCGACTCGAAACGAGGTATCCCAGTTCGAGCAACGCTACTCTCCGCCGGCTTCTGTGCCGTCTACGGCCTCCTCTACATCGCCAGCACACAAGCATTCAACTCGATCATCAATACCGCTATTCTCATGCTGAATATCACGTATACAGTTCCCCAAGGGATCCTGGCTTCCTGTGGACGCGATAGGCTTCCTGCTCGACATTATAATTTGGGCCGGGTTCCGGGGTACGCAGTTAACTTCTTTTCGGTGGGATGGTTGGTTGTTAGTGGGGTGTTCTTTTGCTTTCCGACGATGAGGACGCCAACGATTGCCGATATGAATTAGTAAGTGTCTGTCTTGAATAAATTTGCTAGAGGAAGGGCTTCTTGTTAACTCTAATATTTCTGTTGTTTTCTAGCAATTCGATTGTTATTTGTGGGATCTTTGCCTTTATCTTACTGTGTTGGTTGGAGCGACGGACGAAGTTCTCTGGTCCAACAATCAACTGGGAGAGTTTGAACGCTGCGCAGGCTGTGGATGGTTGATGATGGCTTCAAAACAATGACGGACTTGATCGAGATTATTAATTTGGCTTATTTTTCGGAGATCTCTAATTGCATTTTGTTCTCACCCTGTATATCTCACCCAAATAGCAACTGCTCAGGAACCTTTCCCAGGCCAGGTGTTGGCGATTTCGTCCTACTATCAATGACAGCACCCCACCACTTCTTCGTAGCCCATATCTCATCCAACAGTGCCGGAACAGAGTGAAACATATGATACCGGCTCTTATCACCCCAATACGAGCAGTAATCCTTAACAAACCCCCTCATCTCCTCATCCGAAGTTTCACTTCCCGCCAGGAAGATCGGCAGAAGCAGCTGCTTCTGGGTTTGAGATGATCGTCGACAGCATCGAATATGGTCTAGAGTCCGGCGACTCAGCCTGTTAATGGCTGGCTGTCGTTTGATCTTGTCACTTTTAAACACGCGCTCGACGTATAGAAGTAGAGCGCAACGCCAGGCTTCGGCACAGTGGTACCGGTCTCGTTGCTCGTGGTCCTGCTTTTCGATATCGGTGTCAGAAACATCCTGTTCTTGCTCCTTATGTCTTGGAAATGAGCCTTCTTCGTTATACCACTGTATCAGTTGTTGTTCTATGTCCATTACTGGTGCGACGTTGAAGGATAGCCATTCCATGGACATTGCAATTTCACTTTGTCGGGCTAGCTCTGTTAAGAAGAAGAGATGGGCGAATAGGTCGCGAGGGCAGCCAGTTAGGTCGAAAAATGACCATTCGTCTTGCTTTTCCCAGCGTACGAGGAATTCTAGGTATGAGCGATGCATGACAGTTCCTTGTCGGGATATCAGAGCGAGAGTCGCATCTCACATGCGTAATTAGTTATTTATAGGCTTTCAGGGAGCGGAGGCATGTCCTTACCAGAGCAGCATGCCAACTTGGGATCGTACTCGAGGCGTTGTAAGAGCACTGGGGCCACCACATGCTTGAAGGAGCGAATGTGCACGGTTGAGGTGGGTCGTCCACGATCCGGCAGCGGACAGGGCGCACTAGATACGTGGTTAGACATCTAGGTTCGAAATACAGGGTTCAGGTTGCATACATCAAGCGTAAAAAGAATAAGTATTGGCTCTAGCAGGTGAAAATGATCGTTCGCTTGTTTGCTCTGCAGCGCCCCTTCAAGCAACTGAAGAGCCTTGCGCCGATGTTCCTCTGCTTCAGCTGACCAATTGCCCGTAAGGCGTTTCAAGTGCTGGCAACATAGTGCCAATATGGAATGGAAGAGTATGTGCGACCCCTGCGGTAACTGGCGCTGACAGCGAAATGGGTTGACTGAAATATCTGACGTCAACGGCAAGACACAAAACTCAGAATCGTCTAGCGGTGAATGTTAGTAGCCCCCAAGGCGTATGTCTCAAAGCGCTGCCAAGAGCCTTACACATATCCAAAAGGAGATCATGGTCCTGCGGTGATAGCTCAGAGATTGTGGACTTTCTAGGAAGAGAAGAGGGGCCTTGTGGAATGGAACACCTCGAGCTATTGAGATCAAGGTCCTCACATCGGAGGTTTTGGATAGACTCAAAAGGTGTGGAGCCCAGCGTCTGGATTACGAGCTGGTCTTGGGGTGAGTTTTCGGCAGGCATTGATTCATTCAATTCGTCAATGCCAGAAAACGGGTTCGATTGGGCTAGTAAGGAGGGGAGACCCGGGGAATCCGTCATCAATGGCTCCTGTAGACCAAAATTAAGATGTGGTACCGACTCAAAGATGTTCGGCGCGAAGGAGTCGATTAAATCGAAGTCCTCCCATAGCCTGCCGTCGAATATCTCTGATAGTAAATAACACTTTCTGTAAGTTTATCCCCAGAGTCACAGTCATACCGAATACCCTTACCTGGTTCATGGTTGGCCAGATCTTCCCCAGATTGGGCATCTCCTGTCCTAAACGTGTCCTCCTCACTTACCCCTTTCACAGCCTCATCACGATACTCCACTTCTTGGCTCTCTACCGTTCTAGTCCCCCCGTCGTTGCGGGTTCTCCGGCGCTTCCTTGGCTTGGACCCAGCTGTGACGAAACGGAAGGGCCGACGCGGTGCTGGCATAGTACTATTGCTTTTAAGACCTGATGTGGCCGAGCCCGGTTGACTGGTCACGAATGCAGCAGAATTATTTCTTGTATTCTCCCCACTTGGGGTGTCATCATGGGTTGCTGAAAAAGTCTTGGTCCACATCCGTCTGGAGTCCCAAGATAGAGGAGTCGCAAACCCGCCACACTTTCGGCCTAACGAGAGGCAGGTTGAACATTGCGGACGGCGGCGATCACAATGCTCCCCAGTTGATGTGCAAGTATGACAATCTGACTGGGCAAATGCAAGGGAGTTCGTCCTCTTTCCTTGATTGGCAGAGGCAGTAATAGTGTCTGGTCGCATTCTGTACGCAGACAGGGGAATACGGCGTGTGAACAGCGTGTGGATGAACAAGAAGCAAGCGTGGGTGAAAAACCGTTCTTGTATATGAAGAGTAGGAAAGACCGGCTCGATGAGGTGCCGGGAACTTTCACGGGAATATATCGGAATGACTACACACAAGTCATGTACTATTTCCCACAAACTTGGTTCAGCCAGCAACCGAAGATTCATTGTGGTGTAGATACTACTAACTACACCTAGTTCGTATCTCCCCGCCCCCGATTCTAAGTTTACACCCCCCACTCCATATCCCAGCTATGACAGGACAGCCAATATTTATTCATAACATGATTATCATGAACACCGGCTATCTATCTTTAAACTATCCTACCGGTCCTCACGAACCAAGTTCCGGTACGGGTTATTTGGGTCCTGCGCCTCTTCCTCCGGGGACTGGATGGTCTTCCTGACGCGGCAAGGGCTACCAACGGCAACAGAGTACGGTGGAATATCCTTGGTTACGATAGATCCGGCACCAATCGTCGACCCCTTGCCGATTCGAACTCCGGGAAGAATCACCACGTTTCCGCCAATCCAGCAATCATCTTCGATGAAGATCGGATGTCCAAACTCCACGAACTTCTGACGCGAAAGTACGCTCGTATCGTGACCAGCGCTGAAAATACTCACATTGGTTCCGATCTGCACCCGGTCTCCGATAACAACAAGACTTGTGTCCAGGACAGTCAAACTAGCACACAGTCAGCCTGCCGATACTCTCTGGTTCGGCACGTATGCTACTTAGTAGTACTCACTTCCAGTTAATGAAGCAATTGCTTCCAATGATGATATTGCAACCGTAGTCTGGCAGAAATGGCGGCTCCACAAAGGTGCCCTCGCCTACCCTGCCCACCACTTTGCGAAGTAATTCTAGTCTCTTGTCGAATATTTGGTCGTACGATACGGTCCTTGTGTCCAGATTATTATAGTCTGCGGCCAGACCGCGGCAACGATGACGTGCTTCGAGCAATTCTGGTTTATTCGGGTTGTACCTGACATTCGTCTTTAAGCATCACTATATCCCCGGCTCTGTGTTTTACCAGTATAGGAGTTAACCTACATCATGCCTGAAATCATGCGCTCGTAGTCTTCACATTGTGGGATACCCCGCAATCCACGGGATAGTTCGATAATCTCGGGGCGCTTTTCTGTTGCCGCCATTTCGAATAGCCACTAAGGATGGTCGGATATGAAATAGTTGTGAGAGAAGAATCAAAGATAAGCAAGGTAAAGAAGGTGCCAGATAAGTATTCAGCAAGGAATAATCAAAGGTAGCTTATGGTCCATCCCGCTTTATATCGATGCAACCAATCCAGGCAACTGAAGAGGGTCGCTGCCTTGGCTGCCTATTCGGGTAATAATGCCAGCCCCGAAGTTTCAGCGAGCAGTAGAGTCGCATCTTCCCCCCGCCTTCCGGTTAGGGTATAACTTACGGTAGAATAGGTGAATCCTACTTTTGTTGAATTCCTGTCTGGCCGTTGCCTTATGCCGAGGTAATTAGGGTGTTTTGCTTGTTTGTTGAGCTAGGCCTCATATTGATACGATCTGGACAACCGGTCAATTCCGATGCTAGGGATCCGCCAATTTGCCATGGATGGCAATCAAGCCGGGAAAATCCCGTCGGTTGTGTGGTAAGAATGTCCTCTCACATTTGCAATCAAGATGGCTACCGAGGAATGCTTATTGGTAAATAAAGGTTGGATTACTACTCCGTAATTGGGTCAATATTTATAGGAAAGCGGGACGATATGGGATGAGCCTTCGCATGAGGGGGTGGATAACCGCCCTCGCTGGAAATGAGTCGAAAAACACCCGCCCATATCTCGTCTAGAATTTAGCCTTGATAGTGGTCTTGGCTTTTGGCTCGATCTTCGCGGCGATGTCCTGCGCTGCTAAACAGCCCTGCTCCAAAGCCCCGTCAATCGCGGCTCTCCAACCATGAGCCCAGTCTGCCGAAGCGAAAAGCACATTCCCATGACGACTCTGTAATTCTTCCTGGTACTTTGTCATATATTCTGGCCGCCACCAGGCTGGTCCACCCAACGACCAAGGATCCGTAATCCAATTGTGGAATATCTGACCAGCATTAGCCATGTGGTAGATTAATGTCGAGACAAGATCTTCACTCACCATCTTTTTCACTTCCATTGGATGTAGGTTCTTGAATGCGTCAACAGTCCGCTCAGGCTCACGCTCGGGGACGTAGTTTGCCCTCTCATCCTTTCCAAAACCAACAATATGTGCATTTCCGTTCTCGGTAACCCCATCGCCGTAGCCAAACATGAGCAGATTGGGATACCGCATTCCGTTCCAAGATGCCAGACCTGAGCCTTCCACCTCTGCATGGATCTTGGTCATGAAGTTGACATGTCCAATTTCAAGAGCTTCCCTTCGCTTGGAAGACAACGGGGGGCTGAACTGAATAGTATGAAGGACGTTGAGAGGAATAGTGGACACGAGTCGCTGCGCCCGGTAGACCGTTCCAGCAGTTGTCTGCACTTCAACTACGTTCCCATTGTCACGTATCGCTTGTACCGGAGTCTGGAAAGAATAATCAAGCCCATGAGCCACAGCGTCGTCGAACATTCGCTTCGCCAGCTCTGACTGGCCCTCACGGAGCTTAAAGGTCGTCCAAATGGGCCCAAAATTCTCAGAATTATGCGACATGAGAGCATGAGAGCGAATCATATCCCACAGACTAGAGTTTTCCATGCTCCCACCCGAGATGTGAAGGAGCATGGCAACCGAACCCCGGCTTCCTCGGCCGTGAGCAAGTGTTTGATTTTCTCGAAGCGGTCACGGCAGGAGATTTTATCGTAGAGCTCAACCTCCTTTCGGTCTGTGATGATGTTCTCTAGCTGTGCGTGTGGCAGCGGGCAGATCCGACGACAGTTTGCGCCATCCACGTTGACATAGATGTCCCATGCTCGGGAAGCGATCTTTCCCCCTTCTTCGTGGGTTAATTTGCGGGGAGCAGCACCTACGTCAACATGTAAGTCATTGCCATCCAAAACAATCACTAGACAGAATTTAGAAAGTACCTGGGACATTCAGAGTGTAGTAGTCATTCTCATACTCGCGGTGGTGGGTCAGGAGAAGATCACGATCCATTTTGTACCTAACCATCTCCTTGAACAAGTAGGCCATATGATGGGTGACCCAAGTTCCACCCATTTCGTACTTTATTCCTGTCTGCAGTCAGCCCTATAAGTTGACACCAGCTAGTTATATTTACCATCTGCTTCCACTGTATACGTGCGACCGCCAACCCGGTCGCGGGCCTCGAGCATTAGCACCGAATGGCCTATCACAACATTAGTTCTGACCTCTCACAGAGAGCCTGCATTCACCTTGAACATACCACGGTCTGTCAAGTCACGAGCAGCCATAAGACCGGCATAGCCCGCGCCAATAACAATTGCATTGTAACTGTGCCCGGCGGGAGTGATTTTCTTGTATCGAGGCTCCACCACGCCTCTACAGACAAGGTCCCCTTTTCGCATTCCCGTCGCACGGGTCCAAGAATATCCATCTTGGGTTTTCCTTACTGGGAACGACATAGTGGCTAGGGATGTTAGAACCAAGAGAAGTGCTATACTATGTGTCGAATTGCACTTGGGGATGGCAAGCGGAAGATCCACACGGGCGAGTAACTTATTTTAATCCTTAGCTGTCATTTTCTTGGTTTTTTACCCAAAGAGGCAACCGAGACTGGTACAACTGTATCTTTTGTATTATATACCATATTCTAGTAGCCTTGTGGTAGATGTCATATGTATATATCAATTCAACGTGTTGCTCTTCCCATGCCTACGTTTCATATACTATTCATCAGTTCCCCCTTAACTATATATACAAGTCTCACAACAACGGTACCCAACATCATCCCATCATTCAACTAGAATGTCCTCTCCAACAATTACATACAAAAACCTCCCAGGTCCAGTAGGAGACTGCCTCAAGCCCTCCTCCCTCTCAACAACCGCCACCGTGCCCGTCTCACCCACAACCTCCCTCGTCTTCACTACCGGCCATATCGGTCTCGATTTGAAAACCGGTGCTCTCGTCAACAGTTCCCCTGAAGCCGAGTTCGAAGCTATATTCAACTGTCTCGATGAAGCATTGAAGCATGCGGGAATCACAACCGGACTCTGCCAGGCGTATAAATTCGTCAGCTATTTGACAAGCGCCCAGGATGAAGCTGTCATGCAGCGTATTTTCCATCAGAGGTTTCCCGATGCTACCCCTACTTGGGCTACTGCTATTGTGAAGGAGATAAATGTGCCTGGTATGCGTGCGGAGATTGTTGCGGAGGCAGTGCTGTTTAATGATGCCTGAGTTTGGTGGTGGGATGCGGGTGAAGGCTCCAGTTGCTTCTCTATTCCGGCAATAAACGTTGCAGGAAGAGGTGGGCTTGTGGTTTGGCTCTGCAGGTGCTCACTTCTTTATTCCATCACTACTGTAACCGTCCGTTATGTTATTGAGCTCTAATCCTAGTTAGGTGATACCATTACATTCTAGTCTGGAATGATTTAAAAGTTCGAGCATCTTGAGACAGTTGTATAAAGTTGAAGAGGGGATGGAGTGTAATCTTGAGAGACAAGATCGAATTTGGATCGCCCAGTGACATACAGCACACAGGCATAGAATGGAAGAAGATGGTAGCCTCATAGCTATTAGCTAAACCTCTATTTTTAGTGTTAATGCCCTTTAAAGAAAACACTAAATTACCTGCTCCTGCAGGATTAGCTTTATCTTTATGTTATTAATCTATATTTTAAGCGATTATATTAGATTAGATTTTACAGTTTTTGGCATGGTAATTTACTATATCTGAATAAATTAGAATCTAATTCCTTCACAAAACTTATTCAAATTTATCTATCTCAGTAGCAGTAAGCTAATATAATAATTATTTAAAAGATTTTTAAATAAGATAAAATATCTAGTATAAGAATTCTATAAATAGAATAAAATATTCTTAAAGCTTCCCGCTGGACATTATATATAATTATTAAGAAGTTCAAGTAAATTCATAATAATATAAACTTATTTACTAAAGCTGGTATACAAAATGTATATTTTCAATACATAATTTATCTAACTCATATACATACCTTTTCTAATGTCCTGGTCTATTTACATTCCTAACTCTGGTTGTTTTATAATTATTTTTCTTTTTTCATCTTTGGGAGGAGGCGGGGGGGTTGAAGAGAGATGTATTCAATGATCGGCAAAGCCTTTTTATGATACTGAGGTAGACTGATCTAGTCTGTAGTGAGGTAAATTCAGGATCGTTAACGATCGCCCTTTACAGCAGTCTTCTTATAAGATGAAATTTCTATACGAAACATTAACACCCTCGTGTCGGAGTTTTCGAACAGCGTCTTCTCTTCCTATAGCCGTCAAGGACGAGGCGCCCTCTTCACGCCCCGAGAAAAAGCTTGAATAACGTCGTTGACAATTCCCGGATCAGCCAGCTGGACATGTTAGCACCTTCACCGGAAATAGTATTCAACTGAACATACCGTTGAGGTATCGCCAAAATCAGTATCGCCACTCGCTATCTTCCTCAGGATACGGCGAACAATTTTGCCGCTTCTTGTCTTCGGAAGCTCGCGAACAATGATCACCTTCTTTGGGACAGCAAAGGGACCAATCGATCGTCTAATCTGTAGCACTAATTCGTTCTCAATTTCTGGTGGTTTGTCTAAGGTCTTGAGCGACACGAATGCATTGATTGCTTGGCCTGTCAGGTCATCCGCGACACCGATTACAGCGATTTCCGCCACAGCTCCTGGACCAATGATCCATCAGTTGCCTGCTGGCATTGCGTCCACTTATTTTACCAACGTATGGGTTGTGAGTCACTTACCGTGTTCGATAGCTGCACTTTCGATCTCTGACGTGGACAACCGGTGGCCAGAGACATTGATAACATCGTCGATACGGCCTCTAATCCACAAGTGGCCGTCGAAATCACGAAACGCGCCGTCTCCGGTGAACTTTGAAACTCATTAGTAACATTCTTGACGTCCCGATTATCTGTGAGTATTCATGTACATAGTAACCCTTGTAAACGTCAAGATAGCTCTCCATGTATCGCCTGTGGTCCCCACGAATGGTTCGGGCCATACTAGGCCAAGGCTGCTTAATAGCCAGAACACCCTCCACCGAGTACCCCTCTAGTTCCTTTCCGCTTACCGGGTCAAGAATAGCTGCGTCAATCCCAAAACACGGTAGGGAGGCGCTCCCTGGTTTCACTGGAGTGACACCAGCCATGGCTGCTATGATGTGGGAGCCTGTTTCAGTTTGCCAGTATGTCTGAAAGTAGCATGCTGTCAGAATACAGTCGCAAATTACAATTAGATTTAGGGGGCCAGAACTCACATCGGTAATATAAGCCTTATCATTTCCCATGAAGTCAGAGTACCATTTCCAGACCTCAGGAGCAATTGGCTCGCCAACTGACCCAAGTACGCGCAATGACGACGTGTCAAATCCTGCCACATCTTCCTTGCTGACTGACCTCTTCAACAACCGTAGGGCTGTGGGTGCAGCATAAAAATGTGTCACGGCATGCTTGGCAATTATCTCCCAGTATCGCGTGTTGCTTGGATAGGCAGGGGTTCCTTCGAACATAACTGTCGTGCAGCCGAGCAATAAAGGCGCGTATGCCACGTATGTGTGGCCAGTGATCCATCCAATATCTCCAGCACAAAAGAATATGTCGTCTTTGTGAACGTCGAAAACGTATTTCCCCGTCACTGCAGCCCCTAATAGATATCCTGCCGTGCTATGAAGGACACCTTTAGGTTTTCCAGTTGAACCGGACGTATAAAGCATGAAGAGGTAGTCTTCCGAGTCCATAGGTTTCTGGCGAGATATACGTAGGGAATTTTTGAAGCTCTTCATTCCACCAGAAATCTCTGTCAGTGATTCAAGGCACTTGGCTACCCGTCCGCTCGTAGATTAATACAGTTGAAACACAAGGGCAGTCCTTGAGTGCTTCATCAACAATGTGCTTTGTTGGAATCGATTTTCCACCGCGGCGGCCTTCATCAGCTGTTATAACGATCTTTGAATTGGCATCTACGATGCGGTCCCGTAAGGCCCCCGCTGAGAATCCTGCAAAAACAACTGAATGAATGGCTCCAATCCGAGCACAGGCGAGGAGGGAATAGATAACCTCCGCGACCATTGACATGTATATTGTGACGATGTCGCCCTTTTTCACTCCTTGAGAACGCAGGAAACCAGCCAGTTTTGAGACATGGCCGAGGAGCTCTCTGTATGTCACTCGTTTAACAACCTGGTTAGGGTCGTCTGGCTCGTATATGATGGCAACGCGGTCCGGATCGTCTGTCATATGTCGATCAATGCAGTTGAAGGAAGCATTTAGTTGGCCTCCAAGGAACCAGGCGTTATACCCGTCCTCAAATGAACCAATATGAGGGGTATGAAAATCTTGAGTAAACCACAGAAGCTCACGGGCCTGGTTTGACCAGAATTGCGACGGTGATTCGATGGACTGCTTGTAAAGATCATGGTATTGGAGCATATTGTCAAGGTTTGGTTGGCTGGGATGTCTTTCCCGCCATTCGAAGGCGACAGTCATGACGTCGGAGGCCATGTTTCGATAAATGAAGGTAGTTAACGTCAGTTCACTGACAGTTGAGATAAAGGAATTTATATTCGCGATTATCAGCCTCACCTTACGATTTCTATATCCTCATCGGAAGCCTTTGGCACAGACTAAAACGGGAATGATGTGACTGCCGGCCCACCTTCCTCATTAGGTATATTTTGTTCGGGAGTCACGCACTCACAATTGAGGATAACTTGTACTCTCCATCCGGCAGGAACATCCCTCAAAGAAGAGCATGCCACAGTAATCCCATTCGGAGACTCAATCTCGTCAATAGTAGCCATGCAACTTTTGGCAGCCGCTGATGTTGCTGCTCGCGCCGAAATAGACAGTCGAACCGATGGTGTCTCCCCACAAATCCCCGGGCTTGTATACTGTGCTGTGAACAGGGCTGGAAACACGATTTTCAGTCATGCTTCTGGCAAAACATCTCTGGATGGGAACTCTCCTATGACCATGGACACCATATTTTGGCTTGCATCCTGCACTAAGCTCGTCACCAGCATTGCATGCATGCAGCTGGTAGAGCGCGGAACACTCGAGCTAGACAATAGTGCTCAGCTTGAGTCACTTGCACCCGAGCTCAGAAATGTTCAAGTGCTTGAACGTACTGCAGACGGCAAGTTTCACTTGGTGCCGAAGCAACGGAGCATTACTCTGCGAATGCTTCTGAATCATACATGTAGGATAAGATCATTTCTTCCATTTCTTCCATTTCTCCCATTGACAAACTCCCGCTAACATTTTCATCATGATTCCGACAGCTGGTTTTGGATATGCTTTTGAAGATCTCAAATTACGTGACTGGTCACGGCCAGTCGGGCTCGATGACTTTTCCGGCAATGTGGGTGATGTGCTTCATCGCCCGTTAATCAATCAGCCTGGTAGGAGATTCCAGTACGGAGTTGGTTTAGATTGGGCCGGCGTTATTGTCGAACGAGCCTCTGGTTTATCGCTCGAGGACTATTTTCAATTATTTATTTACCAGCCGCTGGGTATCAAAGACATCAGCTTCTTTCCCACGACTGAAATGAAACTTTCTCTGGCTGCTATGCATCAACGGGCCAAGGATGGGACGTTGAGCGTCAGGGATCACCTCTATAGATATCCGTTACTCCCTCCAAATCCAGGCGGAGAGGAAGACCGCTTTTGCATGGGAGGAGCGGGTTGTTTCGAGAAACCACTCGAGTTCTGCAGTACGTATCTCTACTCCTTTTCGACTTGGGCGTTGCTGGGGGCTTACCGTGTATGCCTGTCCCCTCAAATAGGAATCGTCGCAGCACTTCTTAACGATGGAACAAGCCCTCATACAGGCGCAAAAATTGTTACTTCGGAAACAGTAGAAGGTAGGATTAGGATTTCTCCATGTCTAGTCCTATCTACTAACCGAATGTTCATAGAAATGTTCACAGACCAAATCCCCACAATGCCACGATACTGCAATGAGTACACACCGTCGGGTAAACCGGAACTCGCGAACCCTTGTCCGCTAATCCCCTGTTCAGAAGACCTCACAGAGGGCTGGGGCCTATCCTTCTCATTAAGCCACACCGAAAGGCCCACTGGAAGGGCTGCAGAATCAGGTTCTTGGGAGGGACTAGCAAATCTCTTCTGGTTTGCCGATCGTACAAATGGAATCGGCGGCATTGTCGCATCTCAGATTCTTCCTTATGGAGGTAAGTGACAGACTATTTCAGGCGAGCTAGAACCTTATATACTAAAGGTTGACTATTAGATCTTGAGGTCATCAATTGTTCTGAAAGTGTGGAGAAGATTATCTATAACGGGCTTTCTAACAAAGAAGATGGCGGGTGCCATTGATAAGGTGCCTGTTTTGAATACTTTGATGCATGGACACTAATCGCTGTTTTTACTCATGTTATCCTATTGAAGTCGATGGTCAGAGTAGGCTCGCGACAAAGTACATTCAAGGATAAAATAACTTTCAAGCTGAATTCATAGTTGGAGTAAATAGGTATTTCTCGGTTCCAGCCTCTGATTGACGTAATTATGTTTGTCTACCTTGAAACGATGTATTCTTCTAGTGCTACTTAGTAGTACGTACCATCACAATATTGGTGAATGAGAAACAATGTATTGCAGTTTCTGATAGCAAAGGTGAAGCTTTTATATAGCTAGTACTCAAACAAGCCAGCTGTTTTCTACTTATACTATCTACAAAGGGCTTTATTAACTCAATAGAACAGTACTTTCAACTTGATATCCCAGCATAAGTTGATAGTATATATTCCCACGGGATGTAAATAAGCACTACTAGTAGTAGTTGTGCTACACCGCGAGCACTTTTATTTGACAACCTAAAAAAGCTTTTACAGATCTGGAAACACAATGCTTTATCATCCATCAAGCTAACAAACCAACTCTATACAGCATTAATATCATCACTAAACGCGACAGTGACTTTTCTCAGCCACTATCTCAGAAACCTGTCCCAGCAGTATGATATTCTCCATCAAATCGAAAACAGCTATACTTGCTCTAATCTTTTTATTAAACTAGTTCTGAACATTTATTAGAATAAATAAATCCATTCCATACATGTGTACAGGTTTAAAGAGGTTCATATTGAAAATTAAGAATCTTAATATATAAATAATCTTAGCTGCTATTGACCTAATAATCTGATTTAGCATTTCTCTATTAGAGAAAGTATCTTCAAATTGCTATCCTAACTCTAAGTACTAAGTACTTTAGGTATCAGCAATAGCGTAGATCGCCAAATCGCTATTAACACTAGAGAAGTATTCTGTCTCCTCCCAGGGACTCTAACGAGTCATGACATGTCATGTTAATATCGGAGAAGAAGGAAGAATGGGGAAAGAGAATGGGGAGTGGGAGTGGAGGGAAGATCAGCATTGGGGATTTATCCTGTTCGGGGTAAGCGTAACGGCTGGTAGTCTGTTACCTTTTTGGGAAGGGAGGGTATACAGTAGGGTGGGTGTGGGGGGGAGGATATGACAGCTGGATCGTGATTGATTTGGAGTTTTGGGTTACCTGGTACTTATTACCTACTAGTATTTAGGAAGATGAGGAAAGGTAAAGCAATGGTACAATTTGTATAGAATTGTACTAGTATAATCTATGAGTCAATGTCAATGTCAATGTCAAATAATGCAAAAACAACATCAATCCCTACTTGATTTGAAAATACACATTTCCATACAACCCATCTTCCTCAAAATGAATTGAAAATTCACACGTATGTCTACGGCTAAGTATTAATAATAAAACCCGGAATATAACCTATACGTAGTAGACCAGACCAGTGCTCTGCTGCTGCTGGTGGCACAACACCCCCTCACTCACACCACTCACACCACACCACATTACACGCCACACCACGCCAACAACCCAACCCAACGGGTCACTTACTTACAGTAATTCCACCACTTTGGACTCATCCATCCCGGTAACTTAAATACCGTCTTATGCATCGGCATTCCGCATTGGGTCCTTGGCACAGCGAGACTACCGTCTGCCTGCATTTTTGTGGGGAATAAATAGTACACCCTATTCCTGGTTCAATATGATGATAGTATCCTACCTAAAGAGAAGAAGTACCTATACATACATAAATTTCTTTGTCTTGCGGTAAGATAAGTAAGTTACACAGTATCTATCTATCTATCCATCTACAGAGGTGAGTGAGTGCCAAGACCCACTTCCTTCCTTCCATCCTTCCTACTGTGTACACTGTACACAGTACACAACTGTAGAATAGCTGAAATCTCCTCACATTAATTAACGAAATGAATAATATTCATAACATAAGCACTATAACCCCTCCCCTCCAACAGCCTACCTAGTACCTAAGTACTACTAACTAGCACCACACTACTACTTACCATCCCACCAAACGTCCATGAATGATCCGTGCATGAACATGAACATCCGCTATCCGGCCGAGTCCTCCTCTCCTTACGGGATTTGGTCGGCGTTTGCACAATCGACACCAAAAAAAAAAAAAAAAATCTACTCCGTATCTGCGCGAGTCAGGGGTAACACATCGCCAGCCTCATTGGCAGTACGTACGTATCGAATAATTTATTTTAGTGCGTAGGGGCGATTTAAATTTTTTGATTTATCGGGTTTCCGGTTTGCTGGGACCGGGAAATTGGATCAACTTGATGAAGTATTAGGTTAGTAGTTAGTAGATAGACACACCGCGTGAGGGATGTGATGTGGGCAGTGTCTGCATCCATCCATTCAATCCATATGCACAGTGCTCGGAAGAGGATAACCAAGTCACCGGGAGTTGGACAGGGAAAAGTACTTCCTGCCCAATTGACAATTCCAATCAAGCCAAGAGAGCTTTGCTGTCACACACACTGTTACAGACTTACTATAGGAGAATTTACCACCCCCCCCGGTGCATCATGCGATGTGCAGTCAACTTGCCGGAGGGGAAGAAGAAAGACAACGCCAAAGCGCCCGGGAACCGGACCCGGTCAACATCATTCTTGCGGGGCAGTGGAGCTAGCTGGGTACTCCCTGGAAGAATTCAGGAGGCCAAGCTGATGTTTGCTCGATCCCACGCCAGCCATCATTTTCATCGGGGGGTCTGGATCCCTCAACCTAAGGCCAGGGTACGGAGTATACCGTTACTGCTGCTGGTTATTGGTTAAGAACGGCCATTTAACATACGCAGCGGGGCGTACCGATTCCCACCGTGCCATTTAAGTTGGGACCATAAGTGGCTCCGGTTGACCCGTGGCTTTGGCCTTTCCCGACCAGCTGGCTGACTAGTGGCTCCTGCTCAGCTTAGTTTGCAGGGCATTGTGCCACCGCTCAGCTGGTTCGCCACGGCGTCCAAACTAAGCATAACAAGAGGATTACACAACAGGGAGTAACCAGGAAAGAATCAGGTGCCACAGAGTAACATCAGGATTCAAACAATGCTAGGTCCGCCAACCATCGTTGCATCTCAGTGCCTTGTGGCACTCGAGCTGCAAAGGTAAAGTTTG